ATATTGTTCTGATAGGGCTCTTTTCAAACTGATGTCTTACCCTTTTTGGTGCCTGAAACTAGATGCTGTTCAGACTTTTCTTTTTTTTTTTTTGAGATGGAGTCTCACTCTGTAGCCCAAGCTGGAGTGCAGTGGTGTGATGTCGGCTCACTGCAACCTCCGTCTCCCGGGCTCAAGCGATTCTCATGCCTCAACCTCTGGAGTAGCTGGGACTACAGGGGTGTGCCACCATGCCCGGCTAATTTTTGAATTTTAGTAGAGACGGGATTTCACCATGTTGCCCAGCTGGGTCTCAAACTCCTGAGCTCAGGTGATCCGCCTGCCTAGGCCTCCCAAAGTGCTAGGATTACAGGCATGAACCATCGTGCCTGGCCTCAGCAAATAATTATTAAGCTCCTACTATGTTACAAGCATTACCATACTAGGGGCCGGAGTTGTAAAGATAAGACATCATTTAATGTGCTTTGCCTCTTCCAGTCATCTCAGCAAAATATCCTTGTTTGTTATAAAAATTGACTAATTCTGGCTGGTAATTGTGTGTAGTGCTGGTGCACTAGTAAGGAAAGAACCATGTTTTTTAAATCAAACCCAGCTTTATTGAGGTATAATTTATATAACATAAAATCCACCCATTACCCGGGAGGCGGAGCTTGCAGTGAGCAGAGATCCGGCCACTGCACTCCAGCCTGGGTGACAGAGCGAGACTCCGTCTCAAAAAAAAAAAAAAAAAAAAAAAAAAAAATCCACCCATTTCAAGTGTACAATTTAATACTTTTTAATATTTACTTAGTTGTGCAGCCATCTCCAAGATCCAGTTTTAGAACATTTCTATCATCCCAAAAAGATGCCTCATTCACTAAATCCCTGTTCCCACCTCTAGCCCCAGACAAACTAGTCTACTTTCTTTTACAGATGTCTTTTCTGGGTATTTCATATAAATGAAATAATGTAATATATGGCCTTTTGTAACTTACTTCATTCATTTTGGATGTTTTCAACGCACATTCATTTTGTAGCATGCATTAGTACTTCATTTCTTTTTTAGAGATGGGGGTCTTGATGTGTTGCCCAGGCCAGAGTCCAGTGGCTATTCACAGGCACAGTCGTACCATGCTAAACCTTGAACTCCTGAGATTAAGCGATCCTCCTGCCTCAGCTTCCAAAGTAGCTGGAACTACAAGTGCTGGCCACTCTGCCTGGTTACATTTCTTTTTATTGCTGAATAATATTCCATTATGTGGATATCCCATACTTTGCTTATCAGCTGATGGACATTTGGATTGTTTCTACTTTTTGGCTATTATTAACACTGCTGTGAACATGTACAAGGTTTTGTGTGGACATATGTTTTAATTCTCTTGGGTAGAAAACCATGAGTGAAATTGTTGGGTTACAAGGTAAATTTACATAAAACCTTTTTTTTTTTTAAATTTTTTTGAGACGGAGTCTCACTCTGTCACCCAGGCTGAAGTGCGGTGGCGTGATCTCTGCTCACTGCAATCTCTGTCTCCCAGGTTCAAGCTATTCTCTTTCCCCAGCCTCCCAAGTAACTGGAATTACAGGCATGTGCCACCACGCCCAGCTAATTTTTTTATATTTTTAGTAGAGATGGGGTTTCACCATGTTGGTCAGGCTGGTCTTTAACTCCTGACCTCCAGTGATCTACCTGCCTTGGCCTCCCAAAGTGCTGGGATTACAGGCGTGAGCCATTGTGCCCGGCCTATTTTTAAAAACTTTTTTTTTGAGATGGAGGCTTGCTTTGTCGCCCAGGCTGGAGTGCAGTGGCGTGATCTTGGTTCACTGCCAACCACCGTCTCCTGGGTTCAAGCGATTCTCTTGCCTCAGCCTCCTGAGTCACTGGGATTACAGGCGCCCGCCACTGCATCTGGCTAATTTTTGTATTTTTAGTAGAGACAGGGTTTCACCATGTCGGCTGGGCTGGTCTTAACTCCTGACTTCAGGTGATCTGCCCACCTTGGCCTCCCAAAGTGCTAGGATTACAGAAGTGAGCCACTGTGCCCGGACTATTTTAATTTTTAATTTTTTTTTTTTTTTTGGAGACAGAGTCTTGCTCTGTTGCCCAGGCTAGAGTGCAGTGGTGCGATCTCAGCTCACTGTAAGCTCCGCCTCCCGGGTTCACGCCATTCTCCTGCCTCAGCCTCCTGAGTAGCTGGGACTACAGGCGCCCACCACCACACCCGGCTAATTTTTTGTATCTTTAGTAGAGATGGGGTTTCACCGTGTTAGCCTGACCTCATGATCCACCTGCCTCGGCCTCCCAAAGTGCTGAGATTACAAGCGTGAGCCACCTCGCCCGGCCGCCTATTTTTATTTTAAAAAATATTTTTATTTTACTTTTTGGACAGAACAGTGTGAACATATAAAAGCATGTTTTGAATCAAGAATGGTATCTTTAGGTTAGGTGTGGTGGCTCATGCCTGTAATCCCAACACTCTGGGAGGCCAAGGCAGGAGGACTGCTTGAGCTCAGGAGTTCAAGACCATTCTGGGCTACATAGTGAGACCCTGTTTCTACAAAAAAAAAAAAAAAAAAAAAAAAAAAAAAATATTGTTATCTTTTATATTTATAGGACCTGAAGTCTCCTTCCACATCCTATAAGCCTCTACCTCTCATTGCATCTGCTTTTTTTCAAGCACAAGCATCCAAGAGAAAATATGTTGTACTAAATAACTTTTTTTTTTTTTAGACGGAGTCTCGCTCTGTCGACCAGGCTGGAGTGCAGTGGCACAATCTAAGTTCACTGCCAACCTCCGTCTCTTGGATTCAAGCAATTCTCTTGCCTCAGCCTCCCGAATCACTGGGATTACAGGCGCCCACCACAGCATCTGGCTAATATTTGTATTTCTAGTAGAGATGGGGTTTCACCATGTTAGCTAGGCTGGTCTCGAACTCCTGACTTCAGGTGATCTGCCCACCTGGGCCTCCCAAAGTGCTGGGATTACAGGAGTGAGCCACCGTGCCCAGCCTATTTTTACTTTTTAAAAAATTTTTATTTTACTTTTTGGACCAAACAATGTGAATATATAAAGCCATGTTTTGAATCAAGAATGGTATCTTTAGGTTAGGTGTGGTGGCTCATACCTGTAATCCCAACACTTTGGGAGGCCAAGGTGGGAGGATTGTTTGGGCTCAGGAGTTCAAGACCACCCTGGACTACATAGTGAGACCTTGTCTCTCCAAAAAAAAAAAAAAAGTTATCTTTTATATTTATAGGACCTGAAGTCTCCCTACAAGCCTCTACTTTTATTCAATCTGCTTTTCCTCAAGTATAAGCATCCAAGAGACAATATATCGTACTAAATAATTTTTTTTTTTTTTTTTTTTGAGACAGTCCGGCTCTGTTGCCCAGGTTGGAGTGCAGCGGCGTGATCTCAGCTCACTGCAAGCTCCGCCTCCGGGTTTACGCCATTCTCCTGCCTCAGCCTCCCAAGTAGCTGGGACTACAGGCGCCCGCCACCTTGCCCGGCTAGTTTTTTTGTATTTTTTAGTAGAGACGGAGTTTCACCCTGTTAGCCAGGATGGTCTCGATCTCCTGACCTTGTGATCCGCCCGAAAAAGTGCTGAGATTACAGGCTTGAGCCACCGTGCCCGGCCGTGTATTTTAACCTGAATCAATCTAAGGAAACAAGAGAAATTCAGATCATGGAATGTTTTCAAGACAACTTGCCTGGCTTCTTCCAAATATTCAGTGTCATGAAAAACAAAGAAAAAGGCAGGTGGATTCTGGACTAAAGGAAGATGACCAAATACAATGCATGGAACGTGAATGGATCCTAGAGTGGAAAAAAAGGAAAATGAGGAAAAGTGCTATGGTGTGGTACAGAAATTATTTCAGTCTATGTTATCATAATAAGTGAAAAAAGCAAGGTGAAGGCCGGGCGTGGTGGCTCACGCCTGTAATCCCAGCACTTCGGGAGGCTGAAGCGAGCAGATTGCTTGAGCCTAGGAGTTTGAAACCAGCCTGTGCAACATGACGAAACCCCGTAAAATGTCCCAACTAGGACAACTGGGGAAACTTAAGTGCGGACTCTTTGTTAAATAATATTGACTTACTTCCTAAAGATGTGATAAAGGTACTTTGGTTCCGTAGTTAAGACGCTCATTTTTAGGAGTGAAGAACAAGATGCCCGTAAATGGTTTAGAAAAACAAAAATCCTAGCAAAATGTTAACAATTGTGAGTCTAGGTTAAGAGTCAGCTGTTCATTTTACTAAACTTTCACATTTTCCGAAATAAAACGTTGGGGGAAAAAGTCTTTTTGAGTCGGGCTGGAGTGCAGTGGCCCGATCACAGGTCACTGCAGACTCCAACTCCTGGCTCCCACCTCAGACCCCCCAATAGCTGGGACTACAGGAACTGGCCACCACATCTGGCTAATTTTTTAGATTTTGTGTAGGGATGGAGTCTCGCTTTCTTGCCACGCTGGCCTCATACTCGTGGGCTCAAGCGATCCTCCCACCTCGGCCTCTCAAAGTGGTGGAACTACAGGCCTGAGCCACCGCGCCTGGTCAAAAAATCAATTTCTAGGGAAAAATGTCAACTCAAAACAAGTAACCTGCAAAGATACCTTCAGCATAGCTGGGGAATGCCCGTATAATTTACGCTAAGGCTCTCCTTGGGAAGAAGCGGTGAAATTGCAGGCAGCACAAAGACCGGCTCTTATCCCTACTTCCGGGTATTGTGGCACAGGAACCCGAGGTTGCCAGAGCGTAAGCCACGTGACCCGAGCAGCTCCTTCTGACTGGAGGAAGAGCCATTGCTCTAATTCGGTGCCGTGAGAAAGCTCGCGCACAGAGCATTGGGAGCGGGCGGGACTGAATATTTTCTTTGACCAACCGCTTTCCACGTATCCACCCTCCTGATCCCGTAGCGTCGAATCAAAAGCCGTTAGTAAAGTAGTTACTTCTTTCTCTTAGGATAGCCGGTCTTTCCGGGTTTTTTCCCCCCTCCCCCTCCTCCCTCCCATCTGCCCCCTTCCCCCTCCCCTCCTCTCCCTTCCCCTCCCTTCCCCTCCTTTCTCCTCCCCACCTTTATTCAGCTTCCGGTAGAGGCTGGTAGGGTAAGGGAGCTCAGTAAGTCACTTCTGTGCGACTGTTGTTTTATTTCCGGTCTATGGGACCCGGCTGCGATTTGCTGCTGCGGGCAGCAGGTACCATCACTGCTGCCGCCATCATGTCAGACACGGACAGCGACGAAGATTCCGCCGGAGGCGGCCCATTTTCTTTAGCGGGTTTCCTCTTCGGCAACATCAATGGAGCCGGGCAGCTGGAGGGGGAAAGCGTCTTGGATGATGTGAGGGGGTGGGCGTGGGGGTAGGGCTGGGGAGGGTGCGGCTAAGCAGAGGAAGGAGGTGCAGGGAGGAAAGCAGAGGGTGCTCAGGCAGCGAGAACGGGGCGCAGTTAACGCCGGGGAGGAGGATCCCGCCCTCGTGGGTGCGGAAGCAGCGTCGCGTGGGAGTGATCAGTTCTGGGGGAGGGTGGGCAGAAGAGAGCGCGAGGCGAGGCGAGCCCGGGGCCAGGGGCGTAGGGAATGGTGGCTTTGGAGCTAGTGCTCTGCCGACCAGACAGTAGGACACATGCTTGTTTTGCCTAATGAGATGGCTTCCCACCCGTAACCTGCTTGGAGATTCTTGACACTGCCTGCCCCTCTGACATCGCTAGGCTGAGATGGCTCTATAGAGCCGGAGGACTGGACAGGACCTGCCCCCCGCTCGTTTGGTTCTGGCCCCAGGGTTAGGACAATGGGGTGTTCTCAGCACCCAGGAGGGCCTCCTGGTCCCAGTGCGCCTTATAGGTAGTTCTCCCAGCGTCTTCACTGACATCCGTGAAATAGTGTCTTGCGCCCTCGTGAAACTACCCCGCCTTCACTTAGGCCAGTTTTCTTGAGGGGTGAAGCTGTCGGCCGCTGTGGCCCCTACTGTGCCACAGGCCCATGCGAAACGGCCCGAACGAGCCCCGTCTAGCCGCCTCCAATCCCGCTCATCACCCTGCCTTGGCCCTGGTTCCGAGAACGACTGTTCCATTCGTTCAGTCTTGGTAGTTCTTTGATTCGTCTTCTCTCGTAGTATTGTATTTTAAAGTGTAGGCGATGCAGTTGGCTGTGGTGCTTTAATAAAGGGTCTGATCGATGCGAAGTTTGGTAGATAGATATTGCAGTTCCTGAACGTGTTACTCCTTTTGGCACACTGCACAGTCATTTTTCATGTGGATTTGTGACTTTGTTGTGGACCAGGGAAATAAGCCTTTCTGGTGTGGGAATCGTAGGTTTAGTTGTTGTCTTCGACTCTGGTGCTGTCCCTTTTTCAGGAGTGTAAGAAGCACTTGGCAGGCTTGGGGGCTTTGGGGCTGGGCAGCCTGATCACTGAACTCACGGCAAATGAAGAATTGACCGGGACTGACGGTGCCTTGGTAAATGATGAAGGTGAAGTCTGGGTTGTGAGGAGTAGGTGGGGGAGGAGGCTAGCCACCTACTATATATGTACTTTTGTGTGTGTGTAAGATGGAGTTTTGCTCTGTCTCCCAGGTTGGAGTGCAGTGGGGCGATCTCGGCTGACTGCAACCTCCGCCACCCGGGTTCAAGCATTTCTCCTGTCTGAGCCTCCCAAGTAGCTGGGACTACAGGCGCGCACCACCACGCCCGGCTAATTTTTGTATTTTTAGTAGAGACAGGGTTTCATCATAGTGGTCAGACTGGTCTCGAACTCCTGACCTGAGGTGATCCGCCCGCCTCGGCCCCCCAAAGTGCTGGGATTATAGGCGTGAGCCACCACATCCAGCCTGTACATGTACTTTTAAATGGGAATTACCTGAGGGAGTGAGGGTCACTTACTGTTGTTGCGATTCTCCCTGCTTTTTCATAGGGTGGATTAGGAGTACAGAAGATGCTGTGGACTATTCAGACATCAACGAGGTGGCAGAAGACGAAAGCCGAAGATACCAGCAGACAATGGGGAGCTTGCAGCCCCTTTGCCACTCAGGTGATTCTTTGGTGTATTAGCTTGAACATTCCAGTGCATTATCCTGCTGTATAGTCCAGTTTGGGCTCTGGTTTCCATGCCTGCTTTCTGCCATTGTTCCTGCTCTCTATGCCTTTGCTTTGCTCCTCTCCCTTTGTCAGCTGAGTTCCAAGTAGCTGCTATCTTTTTTTGTTCTGGCCAGTGTTAACTGTACTCGTGGTTATTCCTCATACTGTTCAGTCATGAATTCTTGGTTAATGACAAGTAGCTTCCTTGTCATCTGGTATTTGAATACTTGCAGGGGTTTGTGAGATGCACTTCAAAGTTGGAAACTATGAAACAAATTCAGTTTTTGCCCTGAAGGAATTGATAGTTCAAGAGGGATGCAAGGTCATACATAAACAGTGAACTAAGGCAGGACGTGGTGGCTCACGCCAGCACTTTGGGAGACCGAGGCGGGCGTATTACCTACCTGAGGTCGGGAGTTTGAGACAAGCCTGACAAACATGGAGAAACTCGGTCTACTAAAAATACAAAATTAGCCAGGCGTGGTGGCACATGGACTGTAATACCGGGTACTCGGGAGGCTGAGGCAGGAGAATTGCTTCAAACCGGCAGGCGGAGGTTGCAGTGAGCCTATATCACGCCACTAAACTCCAGCCTGGTGACAGAGCGAGACTCCGTCTCAAAATAAAAAGAAACACACTTCCTGTCAGTTTAGAGTACATAACAAGTGCTCAAACAACGTGTAATGAACTGAGTTAAATTAGTCAGAGTCTACTACTAGCTAATTGTATTACTTTTGATAAAATTCCACACTTTATTATAAAGTTCTCTAAAGTTCAAATTTTCCTTTTCTACTAGAGGTTACAAATAAATCCTAAGACTCCTTCCACTTACTGACTTTATCTTCTAGGTCTGAGGTTCTGATTCTACAATGTAGCATCTTGTTCTGATTCTATAATGTAGCACCTTATACCAGAGAAGAAAAAAACATATTTGCAAGCAGGTATCAAGTTCATTGTTTACACAGGGTGCGGTGGCTCACGCCTGTAGGGGAGCATGGTCATTTGAGGTCAGGAGTTTGAAACCTGTCTGGCCAACATGGTGAAACCCCTTCTCTACTAAAAATAGAAGAAAATTGGCCAGGTGTGGGATTACATGCCTGTAATCCCAGCTACTCGGGAGGCTGAGACAGGAGAATTGCTTCAAACCGGAGGCGGAGGTTACAGTGAGCTGAGATCAAGTTCCGCCTCCTGGGTTCATGCCATTTTCCTGCCTTTGCCTCCTCAGTAGCTGGAACTACAGGAGCCCGCCACCTTGCCCAGCTAATTTTTATTTTTATTTTTATTTTTGTTTTTGGTAGAGAGAGGGTTTCACCGTGTTAGCCAGGATGGTCTCCATCTCCTGACCTCATGATCACCCCGCCTTGGCCTCCCAAAGTGCTGGGATTACAGGCGTGAGCCACCGCGACCCGCCTAGGCGGTGTGTTTCAAAGATAATGAAGTTGGCTGGGTGTGGTGGCTCAGGCCTTTGTAAACCCAGCACTTTGGGAGTCCCAAATGGGCAGATAATGTGAGGCCAGGAGTTCGAGACCAGCCTGGCCAACATGGAGAAACCCCTTCTCTACTAAAAGTACAAAAGTTAGCTGGGCATGGTGGCGTGCGTCTGTAGTCCCAGCTACTCGGGAGGCTGAGGCATGAGAATCGCTTGAACCCAGGGAGGGGGAGGTTACAGTGAGCCAAAATGACACTGCTGCATTCCAGCCTGTGCGGCAAGAGCTAAACGCTGTCTCAAAAGATAATGAAGTCCATTTTCGGAACTTGAGGAATTCAATTTAGTAGTCTGGAATCTAGAGCTATTGGTCCACAGTTTTTTTATAGTTCATTCTTTGCACTGCCCTGTTCTGCCTCTCACTGCCTGAAACTGCCCCTGCCACCCCCCCGACGGAGCCTCTCTGTCACCACGGCTGGAGTGCAGTGGCGCAATCTTGCCTCACTGCAACATCCACCTACCAGGTTCAAGTGATTCTCCCACCTCAGCCTCCCCAGTAGCTGGGACTACAGGTGTGCGCCACCACTCCCAGCTAATTTTTCTTGTGTTTTTAGTAGAGATGAGGTTTTGCCATGTTGGCCAGGCTGGTCTCGAACTCCTGATCTCAGGTGATCCACCCACCTTTGCCTCCCAAAGTGTTGGGATTACAGGTGTGAGCCACCCTGCCCGGCCTGCTTGGAAGTTTTATATGAAGTTGCTCGTTATTTATTAATTGTCCACCTCTTCGAACTAGATTTCAGGCTGCTGATAAATGTGAATAAAACCTTGGTAAATACTTGAACTTAATTTTTTCGGGACAGCTTATGGATTTGAGTGCTGCTTATATGAAAAGAATTAACTGTACTGCATATACGGAAATTAACCCATGAAAAATAGAAGATATAAGCCCTGCCTTTAAGGATATTGTTATCTTGTGGGGAAGATGACATACATAAATGCAGAACAATTATTCATAGTAAGGCGAACCAACTATGAGCTCATGTTTCTGTATATAGAGTGTTATATTTAGTTTTGATGGGCTGCCAGAATAGGTAAGTCAATAGCTGTCATTTTTGAGCACCCTGACTGAGGGGAGATGGTGGCAGTTATTATTTTCAGTAGAAGTTATAATTTCCAGGTTTGTGTTTGTTGTCTTGACTAGGGATGGTAAGGAAAAGGCTGGGAGATTCCCTAGGTGAGTTTTATGAGCTAACTTCCTGGAAAAGGAGGATGCTACATTTGATAGAATCTCAGTACTCTGGGATGCTCATTTCTAAGTTCTCTTGTCCTCTAGGGGTGCCTTCACCTATACCCTTAGCTTTTTCCTTCCTTGGCATTGGCTCCTTTGCGTGGCTTGATTTACAAGGGTGCTTCTTGGGAATAATTGGAAGTGGATGTAGATTGCTAATAAAGCTTTCATGGAGGTGAATTTTGAGTAGAATTTTGAAAGTGAGGCAAGGTTTGGTGGAGAAGGAGCAGCAGTTCATTTTGGTTTGAAAACATGGCTTGTCTAAAGTTTTGGAGATATTTAGAAATAAGCAAGTCATGTGTGTAGAGGGGGGAATTAGCCAGTAGGTTTTCTTGAAAGGAGTAGAAAACATGCTGCCAAATAGCAAGAACCAAGAATAGAGCAATTTCACAGTACCTTTATGTATGTATTACTTGGGATTTGATGACATAAGGAATTGTAAACCATCATAGACGGTTGAGTGAGAGGCAGGATGGTATAATGAAAAGAAAAGGACTTTGGAGTCAAAGTGTCCTAGGCTTAGAGTGTCATAGATTCAAATTCCAACTCCATATTTAGTGTGACTGTGAGCATGTTGCTCAATCTCTGAGGCTTGGATTTCTCATTTGTAATAATCCCTCAGTTTTCTTGTCAGTAGTAAAGGTGATAATAGTTACATTAATAATAGTTTTGTGAGAATTTAAGTTTATCACATGATGTGAAAGCACATAGTATAATGGTAAATGCTCTTGTCAATATTAGTTGACTTTCCTTTTTTTCTGCTTTGCTAGTTTACAGTCTTAGAGGCTTCCCTTTGTGATGCTTTGGAAGAGTTATACTTGTCGCTATGGGGTTTTGATTAGTAAAAGAGTGAATGTCACATCAACTTGGAGGCTGTTCTTGCAGGCTAGAGATGTAAAGTTATTAAGGTCTGAAGTAGGGTGACAATTGTAGAAAATGATAGCTAGGGTCAGGGCAGGCGTGGTGGCTGACGCCTATAATCCCAGCACTTTGGGAGGCTGAGGAGAACGGATAACTTGAGGTCAGGAGTTCAAGTCCAGCCTGACCAACATGGTGATACCCCGTCTGTACTAAAAATGCAAAAATTAGCCGGCTATGTGGCACACTTCTGTAATCCCAGCTACTTGGGAGGCTGAGACAGAAGAATCGCTTAAACCCGGGAAGTGAAGGTTGCAGTGAACCAAGATCATGCCTGGGGGGACACTCCAGCCTGGGGGACAAGAGCGAAACTCCGCCTCAAAAAAAAAAAAAGATAGCTAGGGTCAAACTTAGAAGATACTGATAAAGTATCATAGGACTTGGTTGCCTATAGTCCCAGCTACTCAGGAGGCTGTGGCGGGAAGATAACTTGAGCCTAGGAGTTGGAGGTTGCAGTGAACTATGATCAAGCCTCTGCTCTAGCCTGGGCAACAGAGCATGACCCCTGTCTCAAAAAAATTAAAAAAAAATAAATAAAATACAGGGCTTGGTGAGTGAGGAATTGTGTTGGAAAGAGTGTAGGCTTTGTTGTTAAACCAGGCTTGTATTGTGATTTTGTCACTTAAAATTCAGTCTCTTCCATATCTCAGGATAATTCCTGTTGTGAAGTGTTACTGGGAGGATTATACATAAAACATCAAGAAATGCCTGGCACATAATGGAAGTTTTATAGTAGGAAGTTGCTATGCTTTTTTTTTTTTTTTTTTTTTTTGAGACGGAGTCTTGTTCTGTCGCCCAGGCTGGAGTGCAGTGGTACAGGCAGGGCTCACTGTAACCTCTGCCTCCTGGGTTCAAGCGATTATCCTGTCTCAGCCTCCTGAGTAGCTGTGACTACAGGCCCGTGCCACCTCTCCCAGCTAATTTTTTGAATTTTATTAGAGACTGGGTTTCACCATGTTGCCTAGGCTGGTCTTGAACTCCTGAACTCAGGCAATCCGCCTGCCTCAGCCTCCCAAAGTGCTGGGATTACAGGTGTGAGCCACCTTGCTGGCCCTACACTTACTATTTGTAATGATCAACTGGACAAATGTATATTGGGGGTCACGAGATTGATGAAGGAGACAGTGGACTAAAGTCATAAGCTGGGAAAATGCATGTGGATGTGATATTGATAGGAAATTTAAAAGAGATAAAGGATATTTCAGTGTTTTATAAGGTACAGTTGTTAAATATCTGAGTAGAAAGATTCTTTACGAAGCAGAAGAGTTGTGGAATTGTAGAGGAGGTAAATTTTTTTTTTTTTTTTTTTTTTTTTTTGAGACAAGGGTCTCCCTCTGTCACCCAGGCTGGAGTGCAGTGGTGTGATCTTGGCTCACTGCAACCTCTGCCACCTGTGTTCAAGCGATTCTCCTGCCTTAGCCTCCCGAGTAGCTGGGACTACAGGCGCCTGCCATTGCGCCCAGCTAATTTTTGTATTTTTAATAGAGATGGGGTTTCACCGTGTTAGCCAGGATGGTCTCGATCTCCTGACCTCATGATCCACCTGCCTCAGCCTCCCAAAGTGCTGGGATTACAGGCGTGAGCCACTGTGCCCAGCCCGAGGAGGTAAATTAAGGCCGCATATGTATATTTGGGTTTAATCCAGGCGAAGGTGATTCTTGAGAAAGGGAATAGGGAATGTGCAGGGGAATAAAAGCAGAGTCTTCAGGATGAAATCTTGAGTGATGCCAATGGCTAAAGGGCCATGAAAAGAGTAAAAAACTGCAGATGATAGATAGAAAAACTGTGCCATCTCTCATTTGAGAGATGAGAAGAAAGACCAGTCTTATGGGAAACTGACAGAGGGAGAAGATTCCCAAAGTGCTGGCAATTACAGGTGCGAGCCACTGTGCCCGGCCCAGTATGAAAATTCTAAAAAAGATATGGTCAGGAAAGGAGCAAAGGTTTCAAACAGCTCTTGGAAGCTCTTTCATATGTTGTATGATTATTTATTTATTTATTTATTTATTTATTTACTTTTCGAGACACAGTTTCACTCTGTCACCCAGGCTGGAGTGCAGTGGCGCGACCTCGGTTTACTGCAACCTTCACCTCCCAGTTCAAGTGATTCTTGTGCCTCAGCCTCCTGAGTAGCTGGGATTATAGGCACATGCCACCACTCCTGGCTAATTTTTGTGTATTTGACAGAGATGGGGTTTCATCATGTTGGCCAGGCTGGTCTCGGAACTCCTGACCTCAGGTGATCTGCCCACCTCAGCCTCCCAAAGTGCTGGCGTGAGCCACCGTGCCCAGCCATCATGTCTTGTATGAGGTATTATTCATGTTATAGCAATTGACTTGCACCTTGACGTCATCTCTTTCTAAAGGCTAAAGCTATGTTTCAGATATATATATGTAAAATATTTTGAGGCATGGTCTTGCTCTGTCACACGATTACTGCTCGTCAATGTCTTGACCTCCCAGGCTCAAACTGTACCTCCACCCCAGCCTCCTGAGTAGCTGGTACTACAGGCATGTGTTACCATGCATAGCTAATTTTTGTATTTTTTGTGGAGATGGGGTTTCTCCATGTTGTTTAGGCTGGTCTTAAAATTCTGGGCTCAAGCCATCTGCCCATCTTGGCCTCCCAAAGTGTTGGGATTACAGGTGTGAGCCATCATGCCTGGCCCTCACCTTGCTTTTTTCACTTGTGTGTTCTTAAGGGATATGGATAGTGCTTCATGGGGTGCTTTAAATTATTGAGTGGCCCTGTAGTCCCAACACTTCGGGAGGCCGAGGCGGGCAGATCACGAGGTCAGGAGTTTGAGACCAGCCTGACCAACATGATGAAACCCTGTCTGTACTAAAAATACAAAAATTAGCCAGGCGTGGTGGCGCATGCCTATAATCCCAGCTACTCAGGAGGCTGAGGCAGGAGAATCACTTGGACTCGGGAGGTGGAGGTTACAGCGAGCTGAGATTGTGCCACTATACTCCAGCCTGCGCAACAGTGAGACTCCATCTTAAAAAAACCAAAAAATTGAGTGGCAAGGAAGCTTAAGGCGGTTGTGTAATATTTTGGATACTGAGGAGATCATGTTCTTGGTTTTATTAGATTATGATGAAGATGACTATGATGCTGATTGTGAAGACATTGATTGCAAGTTGATGCCTCCTCCACCTCCACCCCCGGGACCAATGAAGAAGGATAAGGACCAGGATGCTGTTACTGGTGGTAAGTAGAGATTGTCTACTTTTGTGTTAGGAGCAAGTTTCCATTCATAAGTCCAGTCTTGTGGCTCACACGTAAGGGACAAACTTAAGCTTATACGAAAGGACAAAACTTCTAGAAATAATTCATACAATCTCAAATTTTTGTATTAAAGGGAAGTTTTAAAACATTTGGCAACAGTATTTTAACGTGCTCAATATATAGTAGTTTAGTCAGTGGTTCTCAAATCTGGTTACCCATCAGAATCACTTAGAGTCTTTAAAAAAAAAAAAAACAAAAAAAACCCAATACCTGACTTTCACCCCTTGAACCTGATTCAGAAGATCTTGGGTAGAGTCCAGGAATTAAATTAAATTAATTAATTAATTTTTTTTTGTTTTTTGAGAAAGAGTTTTGCTGTGTTGCCCAGGTTGGAGTGCAGTAGCACGATCTTGGCTCACTGCAACCTCTGCCTCCTGGGTTCAAGTAATTCTTGTGCCTCAGTCTCTAGAGAAGGGGCTGGAACTCCTGATGTCAAGTGATCCTCTTGCCTTGGCCTTCCAAAGTGCTGGGATTACAGGTGTGATCCACTGCGCCCTGCCGAACCCAAGAATTTTAAAGAGTTTCTTAAGTAATTTATGATACAACTGATCTGTATACTGGTATTTAGAAACTACTTGTTTAGATGGCTTTATTTTCAGTGAAGTGGTTAAGGAAGGTGCCCTGGAATGTTGATAAATCAGATAGTGTCAACTACCAGATATTCAGAGATTTCAAAGGCTGGTAGAGTCTTCAGTGTTTATCTTACCTATTCCTATAACAGTAACTGTCCTAGGCTTGAAAATTGGGGAAGAGCAGTGTGTTTGATTGACCTGTATGTTGAGGCTTGCATTTACCTAAATTCTTCCTGTTGGAGTTCTAAGCCATTTCTTTTTAACAGTCTGCTAAATGTCAGCTGTTCCATAGATCTTCTTTATGCCAAAGAATCTTAATGTTGTCCTGTGGGCTTAAAAAGATTCTCCAGCTCATGGGTCTCTGAACTAGGACTACCTCAGTGGTATAAAGTATTACATAATTTTGCTATTGGTCACAACATTGGTTACAATATTGGTTACTTAACAGAAAGTAGGGCCAGGCGTGGTGGCTCACACCTGTAATCCAAGCGCTTTGGGAGGTGGAGACAGGCAGATCATTTGAGGTCAGGAGTTTGAGACCAGCCTGGCCAAGACGGTGAAACCCCATCTCTACTAAAAATACAAGAATTTAGCCAGCCGTGGTGGCGCATGACTGTAATCCCAGCTACTCAGGAGGCTGAGGCAGGAGAGTCACTTGAACCTGGGAGATAGAGGTTTCAGTGAGCTGAGATCTCACCACTGCACTCCAGCCTCTGCGACAGAGCAAGACTCGTCTCAAAAAAAAAAACACCGAAAGTAGTAAACCTAGTAATAGTGTTTGTTTTCTCATCACAACCCTAGGGTACCAGGTACGTGGTGAGTTGGGGGATGATGGGAGATAATGAGTTAGAAGAGTTTTCTGGGTTGCATACTAGTATTATGATTTGGGTGCTTGGGCCTATATCTCCTGGCATTGAGCCATGTGTATAGCCTAAAAGTGGGTGTTTGCGGAATTTGAGGAAATACATTCACAGTTACATGCCAAAGGGGTTTCTCTTCCTTGTTGCAGTGTCTGAAAATGGAGAAGGCATCATCTTGCCCTCCATCATTGCCCCTTCCTCTTTGGCCTCAGAGAAAGTGGACTTCAGTAGTTCCTCTGACTCAGAATCTGAGATGGGATCTCAGGAAGCAACACAGGCAGAATCTGAGGATGGAAAGCTGACCCTTCCATTGGCTGGGATTATGCAACATGATGCCACCAAGCTGTTGCCAAGTGTCACAGAACTGTTTCCAGAATTTCGACCTGGAAAGGTACATTGTATGGAGAATGCCCAGATTGCAAACCACCGACCTCTTCCAAATAATGAGTTTCGTTGTTAAGATGCTGAGTATGGAATAGACCTAAGGGTTTCCTTACTCAGTGACATACTATTGGCTATATAAGAGTTCTTCACACTGTATTAGGTCTTTTTTTTAAAGTTGTATATATTGATAGTAAATGTGATTTATGCTGTTCTCATTGGAAATTTCCCTGTTACCTTAAAAGAACTAGTCCAAATTATTAAGGAACGCTTCTTTACTTTCTTGTTAGATGCTGTAAGTCTGAATGCAACACTCCTTTATTTCTCCCCCGCATTTGAATAGATCTCTCAAGGGCATTTTCAGGCCCAGATGCTGCTGTTTTCGTATCTGACTTTGAGTCTCTGTCATAGTAATGTATTCTGTGTTCTAGGTGTTACGCTTCCTACGTCTTTTTGGACCAGGGAAGAATGTCCCATCTGTTTGGCGGAGTGCTCGGAGAAAGAGGAAGAAGAAGCACCGTGAGCTGATACAAGAAGAGCAGATCCAGGAGGTGGAATGCTCAGTAGAATCAGAAGTCAGCCAGAAGTCTTTGTGGAACTACGACTACGCTCCACCACCACCTCCAGAGCAGTGTCTCTCTGATGATGAAGTAGGCAAAATGGAGACCTGAGATTAAGGCTTATGAGAGGAACAAATGAATTCAATGAATTCTCTCTAGTTTATGTCTAAATTGTAAATAACACCATAGCAGATAGAATTCTGTGCTAATTCTCAATGAGTAATCATGGGTTCAGTCTCAGCGGCTGCCCCTTCCCTACTGTAAAAGAAAAATGTTTGGTGGGGTAGGCGGGGATGAGAGGGGTAGATGGTGATATGCTGCTGAATAAGGTTTGATCGATAGGCGGAATGTGCTATGATACATCTCCATTGTTTACATTTTAACTCCAGGTAAATCATCCTCAGTTTGTCTAAGTTCCCCTCCTGACTGTTAACTCTCTATAGCCTTAGGACAGCTGGGATCAGGAAATTCTCCCTGCTCTACTTATTTTTTTCTGTTACAGATCACAATGATGGCTCCTGTGGAGTCCAAATTTTCTCAGTCAACTGGAGATATAGATAAAGTGACAGATACCAAGCCAAGAGTGGCTGAGTGGCGTTACGGGCCTGCCCGACTGTGGTACGATATGCTGGGTGTCCCTGAAGATGGCAGTGGGTTTGACTATGGCTTCAAACTGAGAAAGACAGAACATGAACCTGTGATAAAATCTAGAACGATAGAGGTGAGCAACACTGGTATGTAAGAAAGGAATCAGTGTACTCAGGTCCTATTACTTTTACTAACTTTACTTTTTAATTTGGGAGATATTGGGTGGGGTTTCTTTAGTGGGAGATTGAGGTGTCTCAGCCTTTTATTTGGTATGGTGTATCACCCTGGTAGCTAGGTCCTATACTAAGGATTCTGTTTGTGAAGTGAGTGCTGTGCCAGACTAGGAGTGGGAAGAGGCAAATATTCCTCTGTTATCAAGTGGTTGTTTCAAGTAAAGGACCACTTACGATGTGTCTGTATCTCTAATGTGGAATTTGGAGTGTAAACTTTGACCAGTGACCAATCGAGGGTGTGTTTTTTCTTCCCTACTTACCCAGGAATTTAGGAAACTTGAGGAAAACAATGGCACTGATCTTCTGGCTGATGAAAACTTCCTGATGGTGACACAGCTGCATTGGGAGGATGATATCATCTGGGATGGGGAGGATGTCAAACACAAAGGGACAAAACCTCAGCGTGCAAGCCTAGCAGGCTGGCTTCCTTCTAGCATGACTAGGAATGCGATGGCTTACAATGTTCAGCAAGGTGTGCTTCTGTGCTAGCTGTGTCCAGCATATACTGCCCTTAATCTTAGTCACCATAAGTGGGCCTAGCTGTGTTTTTTTTTTTTTTTTTTTTTTTTTTGAGAGAGAGTTTCGCTCTTGTTGCCCAGGATGGAGTGCAATGGTGCAATCTCGGCTCACCGCAACCTCCGCCTCCCGGGTTCAAGCGATTCTCCTGCCTCGGCCTCTGGAGTGGCTGAGATTACAGGCATGTACCACCATGCCTGACTAATTTTTGTATTTTTAGTAGAGACGGAGTTTCTCCATGTTGGTCAGGCTGGTCTTGAACTCCCGACCTCAGGTGATCCACCCGCCTCAGCCTCCCAAAGTGCTGGCATTACAGGTATGAGCCACCACGCCTGGCCTGAAGTTAAAGATCTTTCTGAACTATAATGGTACTTTATAGTATATTTTTGTTTCCCAAGTCCCTTTGTATTTAGAATTCTAGTTTCCTTTTTTTCTCCTTAAATAGGTTTGTGTGTTTTTTTTTAAGGTATGCCATGATTCATGTAAAACACTTTGAAAATACAGTATAGTGTTAAAAAAAAAAGTCACTGGTAATCTATCTGGAGATTATCAACTGTTAATTTTTGGTGTATTTTCAGTGTTCTCTGTGTGTATGTAGTTGAGCTCATTTCTATATGTATAGTTTTGTGTACTGTGCTTTTCACTTAATAAATATTTTTCTCTCTTTCATTTTTTATTATTTATTATTGAGACAGGGCCTCACTTTGTTGCCCAGACTAGTTTCAAACTCCTGGACTCAAGCGATCTTCCTGCCTCGGCCTCCCAGAGTGCTGAGATTACAAGCAAGAGCCACCCGACCCAGCCACATAAATAATATTGTGTTCTTTATAAAAATGTTTAATGACATGGGAAACTCATTCATTTTATTTTAATTAAATTATTATTTTTTTGTAGAGGTAGAGTCTTGTTATGTTGCTCAGGCTGGACTCCTGGGCTCAGGTGATCCTCCTGCCTCAGCCTCTCAAGTAGCCGAGACTTCAGGTGCACACCACCACACCTGGCTTGAGAAACTCATTTTAAATGGAAAGAAAGAAGATATGAAACAACATATATGATATCTTATTAGTGTAAATGAAAAAAAGCAGACTGCATAAACATAGAAAGCTGGATTACTTCTACATTTTGGAGGAAAAACAAAATTTTTTTTTTTTTTTGAGAAAGCAGTCTCTGTTGCCCAGGGTGGAATGTGTTGGCACGATCTTGGCTCACTGCAACATCCGCCTCCCAGGTTGAAGTGATTCTTGTGCCTTAGCCTCCTGAGTAGCTGGAATTATAGGTGTGCACCACTGTGCTCAGATAATTTTTGTATTTTTGGTAGAGATGGGGTTTCACCAGGTTGGCCAGGCTGGTCTTGAACTCCTGACCTCAAGTGATCTGCCTGCCTTGGCCTCCTGAAGTCCTGGGATTACAGGCGTGAGCCACCGCACCCGGATACAAAAATGTCTGATTTTTAAAACCTAAGAAATAGGTTTTTTCCTTTCCATTCTGCCCACTTTATGGGTTGTGTATTATTACTATGAATGTTTCATAATTTACTGATACATGTTGCATTTGTTAATAAAATTTATTACCATTTATTGTTAGCATACTTTACTGTATCATTTACTATAATTTAAGCAATTCCTTCTTAAACATTTAGGTTATTTAAATTTCAACTATTGTAAACAGTGTTGCAATGAACATTTTTGACTGCAACATTGTTTTATTTTTACTTATTTTTTGAGACAGAATTTCACTCTTGTTGCCCAGGCTGGAGTGCAATGGCACGATCTCAGATCACTGCAACCTCTGCCTCCCAGGTTTGAGTGACTGTCCTGCCTCAGCCTCCTGAGTAGCTGGGATTACAGGCATGTGCCACCACACCCAGCTAATTTTTGTATTTTTTGTAAAGATGGGGTTTCTCCATATTGGTCAGGTTGGTCTTGAACTCCTGACCTGAAGTGATCCACCTGCCTTGGCCTCCCAAAATGCTGTGATTACAGGTGTGAGCCACCGCGCCCAGCCTGCAGCATTATTTTAAAGTGAGAAATGCGCTGTGTAGGTTCCTTTTCAGTGGGCACATGAGTAACTCACATTACTCATGTTACTCATAAAAAATCTTTGCCAGAATCTTGATTGAAAGGGGCATAAATGTTTTCTCTGTTACTATTTCCTCCTTGCACTTTGACTAGGTTTTGCAGCCACCCTTGATGATGACAAACCTTGGTACTCCATTTTTCCCATTGACAATGAGGATCTGGTGTATGGACGCTGGGAGGACAATATCATTTGGGATGCTCAGGCCATGCCCCGGCTGTTGGAACCTCCTGTTTTGACACTTGATCCCAATGATGAGAACCTCATTTTGGGTATATTACTGGCAGAGGCCAGTGTTCCTTCTCCTTTGACAACTTGCTGTTAATGTTCAACAGGCAGGAGGAAATCAGAAGGGTTGGAGAAAATTAGGACTAGAAACTTATAGGTAGTGGCTTGAAAGAGCAAAGTTTTGGCTGTTAGTTTATATTATTTGTGTATATGCTTAGGGAACACTCATGTAGGAATATTGGAAAGTTGCAACTTTGAGATGTCAGGAGCATAGTTTGTTCCGTTAGTGAATCATGGACTGGAAACTTCTAGGTAGCAGTTTCAGAGAGAGCAAAGTTGTAGCTGTTAGTTTTTATTATTTGTGTATTCCCTAGGGAAAACTCATGTAGGAATGTCAGTAATACCTTTGAGATGTCAAGCATGTAGTTCAGTTAGTAAATCATGGACTAGAAGTTACCTGGGGTGGGATGAAAGATCTAGTTAAGAACTTCATTGGGACATCCATCACCTTAAAAAAGAAGAAAACTGGATACTTGTCTGTAGGAAAGGTGAATCTTCAGGGAGAGCAACTCAAGTGATCTTTGTTTTATTCTCAGAAATTCCTGATGAGAAGGAAGAGGCCACCTCTAACTCCCCCTCCAAGGAGAGTAAGAAGGAATCATCTCTGAAGAAGAGTCGAATTCTCTTAGGGAAAACAGGAGTCATCAAGGAGGAACCACAGCAGGTGTGTGAAGAAAAAAGGGGCTTGGCGTTTAGAGGAACAAAGGTAATAGAGAAGGATAGTCTGACCAAGATTTGTTTGATTATCTATCATTAGAACATGTCTCAGCCAGAAGTGAAAGATCCATGGAATCTCTCCAATGATGAGTATTATTACCCCAAGCAACAGGGTCTTCGAGGCACCTTTGGAGGGAATATTATCCAGGTACAAATAGTGTCTTTTCTGTGGTAGAGGAGAACCCCATGGCTTTGTTCTGACGGAGGATATGGGAAAATCTTGCTTAGGCTGGAATTAGCTAATTTTAACCCTTCTATTTCCTGTTTTAGCATTCAATTCCTGCTGTGGAATTACGGCAGCCCTTCTTTCCCACCCACATGGGGCCCATCAAACTCCGGCAGTTCCATCGCCCACCTCTGAAAAAGTACTCATTTGGTGCACTCTCTCAGCCAGGTCCCCACTCAGTCCAACCTTTGCTAAAGCACATCAAAAAAAAGGCCAAGGTATAATTGAATTCTGGTTAGAAAACAGCTATAAAGGATATTGGGGTATAAATTAGGGAAATGTACCAGATATTAGATTCTATCAGGGAGTTGGTTACTTTCTCAGATGTGATAGAATGTTATTTTATTTATTTAGGAGAATGTCTTTATTGTTAGGTGATGCTGTGAAAATATTTAAAGGTGAGGTGTCACAATGACTGCATCTTTCAAAAACCGTCCAGCAAAGTCTATAGAAAGGTAAAGGTTAAAAAAAAGGCAAAATATAAACAGCAACGTGGGATAAGTGTTCGTAGTACAGTAGTCCTTAGGTATCTCTGGGAGATTGGTTCTAGGACCTCCTCTGGATACCAAAATCTTTAGATGTTCCAGTTTCTGATATAATAGCATAATATTTGCACATAACCTGTGCACATCCTCTCCTATACTTTAAATCACCTCTAGATTACTTATGATATCTACTCCAATGTAGATGCTATGTGAATGGTTGTTACACTGTTATTATTTAGGGAATAATGACAAGACAAGTCTGTACCTGTTCAGCACAGATACAGTTGTATTTTCTGAATATTTTCTATCTATGGTTGGTTGAATTCACGGATGCAGAACCATACATGGATATGGAGGGCTGACTGTACTATTGTTTGGACTTTACAGTAGTTTGAAAAATAGATAAAATCTTTTTGGTGTGTTTGTCTCAGATTGAACAACATCATTGTGTGTAGTAGTTATCCTGTCAGGAGCTAGATGGTATTTTCTTTGTTCTGGACAGATGAGAGAACAAGAGAGGCAAGCTTCAGGTGGTGGAGAGATGTTTTTTATGCGCACACCTCAGGACCTCACAGGCAAAGATGGAGATCTTATTCTTGCAGAATATAGTGAGGAAAATGGACCCTTAATGATGCAGGTTGGCATGGCAACCAAGATAAAGAACTATTATAAACGGGTGAGTCTCTGCTCAGAAAATTTTTTTCCACACATAATTCTGCTTATGCTTCCATAAACTTTTATGTACAAACTTTTTGTTATTAATGTAGCTGTAGTAAGACAAACTGCAAACTTATGTACAAACTTTTTGTTATTAACATAGCTGTAGTTAGAGATCTACTGGTAATCTGTGAACATATACCATAAATTTCATGGGAGAAAGGAGTGGTACCTGTTTTGTAGTTAAAACATGTTGAGCATCTCAAACCTCAAAATTCGAAGTAAAAATCCAAAACTTTTTGAGCACTACTAACATGATACTCAAATGAAATACTCATTGGAGCATATTGGATTTCCAGATTTGGGATGCCCAACTGGTAAGTATAATGCAACTATTCCAAAATCCAAAACACTTCTGGTCACAAACATTTGGATGAGGGATACTCAACATGTGTTAGTAAAGTGCTATGCTCATATTGTGTAGGATTATTGATTATATTCTGTGATTAATAACTGGGTCTTCTGTGTTCCTTTTAGAAACCTGGAAAAGATCCTGGAGCACCAGATTGTAAATATGGGGAAACTGTTTACTGCCATACATCTCCTTTCCTGGGCTCTCTCCATCCTGGCCAATTACTGCAGGTGAGGAATTCTTTCCTGTTTTTACTTTTAACTAAGGAAATTGATAAATGAGGAGCCAGTCAGCTCAGAAAGAACTATTATAATTCTGGTTGATTGAGATGCTTTAATATTAAGTACAAAGAAGATAAGTATAATCCAAAAATGTTTTAAAGAAATCTTTTTCTTAAAACTGGCTGTAAATTGTGTTGTTCTTAGGCTAAATGTAAAATAGGTTTTTAAAAATACACACTGGTAAGCTCAGTAACATCTGGGAAGCATAAGGAAGTCAACCTAGGATGAATTTACTATAATTTATGAATGTTTAATTTTTGTGTATAAAATTGATAACATTTTGATCATACTAGCTGTGGTTATTGTGAATATTGAACCACACCTGAACTGTGCCATCTGCAGTCCCCAGCCATAGTGAAATGCCTTTTTTTCCTCCTTTATTCTAATGGGTGTAAAGAGGCCCTCTTGTAACAGCTTTTATATATTCAAGGGGGGAAGTATGGTGGTCCACAAATGATGTGGAAAATCTCTAGCACTGTCCTATCTTTTTTTTTCTCCATTTCATTTCTCTTGGCAATCTTAACCATTTGTCCTACTCTTATACCTAGTTTATTCTACTGTTGTTATCCTTTACTCTCCTAAAACGTCTGCAAAACTCAGTTTTTTTCTTTATCCTTTACATCCATAGTCTATTGCCTACCAGATTTTTAGTATCATCTTTGTATTGTTCTTCTCCTTTCCCTGAAACTTTCTGTTGAGGTTTTCTACCAGTTCAGCCTCTTCTTTTGTGCCTACTTTTGTAGTCTCTTAAAGATTTTTTTTTTTTTTTTTTTTGGAGACGGAGTCTTGCTCAGTCGCCCAGGCTGGAGTGCAGTGGCGCGATCTTGGCTCACTGCAAGCTCCGCCTCCTGAGTTCACACCATTCTCCTGCCTCAGCCTCCCAAGTAGCTGGGACTACAGGTGCCCACAACCACGCCCGGCTAATTTTTTGCATTTTTAGTAGAGACGGGGTTTCACAGTGTTAGCTAGGATGGTCTCGATCTCCTGACCTTGTGATCCACCCGCCTCGGCCTCCCAAAGTGCTGGGATTACAGGCATGAGCCACTGCGCCCAGCTCCCGAGTGCAGTGGCTCACGCCTGTAATCCCAGCACTTTGGGAGACCGAGGTGGGCGAATCACCTGAGGTCAGGAGTTCGAGACCAGTCTGACCAACATGGAGAAACTCTGTTTCTACTAAAAATACAAAATTAATCGGGTGTGGTGGCACATGCCTGTAATCCCAGCTACTTGGGAGGCTGAGGCAGGAGGATCACTTGAACCCAGGAGGCGGAGGTTGCAGTGAGCCGAGATTGCGCCATTGCACTCCAGCCTGGGCAACAAGAGTGAAACTCCATCTCAAAAAAAAAAAAAAAGATCTTTTTCTGTATTCTGTAATTCTTTTTCTGTGTTCTTCTGTAATTCTTTTTCTTCCTGTATTTCACATTTAGAATTTTCTTTCCACACTCAGTGATGTTCTTCCCTCTTTCTGTCTACTCTTCTGATTTTTGGCGAAGGCTTTCCTTAGTCTCAGGCTTCTTGTGACAGTTGATCCCTATCTTGCCTCTACTTAAACTGGCTTAGATGTTTCTGTTCAGCTCTCCTCTGCCCTACTGTCTTGTGTTTTCCTTTTCTTTTTTCCAGCCTGTTCTGTCTAGCACTCTTTATACCTCATCGGTTGTTTTATGATTTGTTTGTTTGGAGACAGGGTCTGGCTCTGTCACCCAGGCTGGAGTGCAGTGGCACGATCTTGGCTCACTGCAACTTCTGCCTCCTGGGCTCAAGCCATCCTCCCACCTCAGCTTCCCAAGTAGATGGGACAACAGGTGCATGCCACCACATCCAGCTAATTATTGTATTTTCTGTAGAAACGGGATTTTGTCATGTTGCCCAGGCTGGTCTTGAACTCCTGAGGTCAAGTGATCTACCCGCTTCGGCCTCCCATAGTGCTGGGATTACAGGCATGAGCCACCGTGCCCAGCGTTGTTTTATTTTTTAATTAGTTCACTTATTTATCCAACAAATGTTGCTCTCACCTGTTGTGTGTCGGGCTACACTGTGGTCTAGGGTAGTAGTATAATACTTGGTACATTATAAAGTGATTTTCATATGTAATCTTCGTAGCAGTCCTGTGAGGTATAGGCATTTTTAAGTACCTCTGTTTTGTAGTTGAGGAAAACTAAGCTTAGATATGTTAAATAGCTTAAATAGACATGTTAAATAATATAGGTAATGGCAGAGCTAGCATCATCTGAATTCACTTCCTGTATTTTCTCTCCTACTGACTCTGAAAGATAGATAGTGGATGAAAAATTGTTTAATCACATTTGATAATCCATATTTTAATCTATTTGTATTACTGGATAGACTTTAGATGGCATAATGAAGATGGAGAGCAATAAGCTTGATTTTTCTTTCTCAGCAGTTGACTGAATTTCCTGGGGCTACTCTGTACATAATTTTTGTGTTTTTACTTTTGTTAGGCATTTGAGAACAACCTTTTTCGTGCTCCAATTTATCTTCATAAGATGCCAGAAACTGATTTCCTGATCATTCGGACAAGACAGGGATACTATATTCGGGAATTAGTGGATATTTTTGTGGTTGGCCAGCAGTGTCCCTTGTTTGAAGTTCCTGGGCCTAACTCCAAAAGGGCCAATACACATATTCGAGACTTTCTACAGGTAAGAATGGGAGGATAGGGAGGGGGTTGGGTTGTATATAGAAAGGGTATGTTGGGTCTGGGCACCGTGGCTCACGGCTGTAATCTCAGCACTTTGGGAGGCCGAGGCGAATGGATCACTTGAGGTCAGGAGTTCGAGACCAACCTGACCAACATGGTGAAACCCTGTCTCTACTAAAAATACAAAAATTAGCTGGACGTGGTGACTCACACCTGTAATCCCAGCACTTTGGGAGGCCAAGGCGGGCAGATCACCTGAGGTCGGGAGTCTGAGACCAGCCTGACCAACATGGAGAAACCCCATCTCTACTAAAAATAGAAAATTAGCCAGGTGTGGTGGCACATGCCTGTAATCCCAGCTACTCGGGAGGCTGAGGCAGGAGGATCGCTTGAACCCAGGAGGTGGAAGTTGCAGTGAGCCGAGATCGCAGCATTGCACTCCAGCCTGGGCAACAAGAGTGAAACAGTCTCCAAAAAAAAAAAAAAAAATTTAGCTGGGGCGTGGTGGTGTACTCCTATGGTCCCAGCTACTCTGCAGGCTGAGGCAGGAAAATCACGGGAGCCTGGGAGGCAGAGGTTGCAGTGAGCACTGCACTCCACTCTGGGTGACAGAGTGAGTCTCCGTCTCAGAAAAAGTCGGGTGTGTGGGTTTGGGAGCACATCAGGAAAGATGAAAATACATTAGAGCTTAGCAAGGGAAGAGGCCCTAGTGAGGACTTTCATCCTTTTCTTTGCCAACTAAAATACACTTGGTTTGTTGGGCAGGTTTTTATTTACCGCCTTTTCTGGAAAAGTAAAGATCGGCCACGGAGGATACGAATGGAAGATATAAAAAAAGCCTTTCCTTCCCATTCAGAAAGCAGCATCCGGAAGAGGCTAAAGCTCTGCGCGGACTTCAAACGCACAGGTCATCCGTTGTGACTAGTTATTTGACTGCCTTTTTCCAAGAAAAGAATTTTGATGATTTTGAGTTAAAGGATAAGCATATAGTTAATAAAATAGAAATTGATGGCCGTTGAAAGGTGGTAGCAGATCTTCTAACGCTCTGGTTGCTTTTTTGAATTTGGCTGCCAGGAAGTTTAATGTGATTGTTAGATATCTTCTATGAGTTGTAGGAAACTTAGCAGCTGGGGTTTTCTTGGCCAGTCATGCCAACTGTGGCTAGGCCTGTTACAGTTTTGGTTTACTGTCCCTGTTGCTGTCAATAAATATCAGGGCCTTTGGAATTCAGAATGGTCTCATTCTCTATGTATATGTCTTTTCCAGGGATGGACTCAAACTGGTGGGTGCTTAAGTCTGATTTTCGTTTACCAACGGAAGAAGAGATCAGAGCTATGGTGTCACCAGAGCAGTGCTGTGCTTATTATAGCATGATAGCTGCAGAGCAACGACTGAAGGTGAACACCTTCCTCTCAGACACCACTTATGCCTGTGGTTTTTTTTTTTTTCCTCCCCCCCGGAGAGATGAGAGAGAAGACTCTCTCTCGCTGGCTTAGGGAGGATGGTTACTAGATTATTACCAATTACTAAAAAGTTGAATTTGTGTAAAGTACTTCCTATGTACATCAGTTCTGGAGAAAAACTGCAGTGTAGCTGAATATCAGTGGGAAGGCATAACCAGGAACTTTGGGCATATTGTTTTGCTTTGAAAATGGTGACTGGGTGACTTTAATCTCTTCTTTGCAAGATAAGCATATAAGCAGGGAAAGTACTTGTCAGCCTCTCGGGTAGGCAGAGATGATGATGGTGCTGAATGTGTGGTTTAGAGAAGCACAGAATTCTTATAAGGCCGAAAGAGAAAAGGTCCAGCTGGGGTGGGACAGCACAACTCTGTCCCACTGAGTTAATGAGTCTCAGTTACTGAGCATCTCTGTTCAGCTTGCTTATGGGCTGTAACTATCTGTATATCAGCTAGTAAGCTCTTTGGCATGTGGTAATGTATCTTCTCATAGCTTAAGGATGTACCATGGTGCTAGATATAGTGAAGACTTTATGGAATCCATCTATGCAAAATAGGCTTTGGTATTCTGTACTTGTATTCAGTAAAAAAAAACTTGTGCTTTGTGTTTTTTAACTGACTGATTTATGCATGGATCTGTCCTCTTCCAGGATGCTGGCTATGGTGAGAAATCCTTTTTTGCTCCAGAAGAAGAAAATGAGGAAGATTTCCAGATGAAGATTGATGATGAAGTAAGGCTTTATACTAGTTTGTATTAGTCATTAATACATCTCATTTATCCTTTTAAAAGAGACAGCTTTATTGAGATAAAATTAACATACAATAAACTGTATACATTTAAAGTATACTATTTCATGTTCTTGCTTTATTCATGCCAGAAAAAATGATGTGATATATCAAATACTGTACTTTATATGATATGGTTTTTTTCTTTTTTCTTTTTTTTTTTTTTTTTGACAGAGTCTTGCTCTGTTGCCCAGGCGGGAGTGCAGTGGTGGCGGGTCCTCGACTCACTGCAACCTTCACCTCCCGGGTTCCCGCGATTCTTGCGATTCTCCTGCCTCAGCCTCTTGAGTAGCTGAAATTACAGTTGCATGCCACCATGCCCAGCTAGTTTTTTGTATTTTTAGTAGAGACAGGGTTCCACCATGTTGACCAGACTGGTCTGGAACTCCTGACCTTAAGTGATCCTCGTGCCTTGGCCTCCCAAAGTGCTGGGATTACAGGCATGAGCCACTGTGCCTGGCAGGATTTTCATTTCTTCTAGAAAAAAGACTGACCTGATTTATGAGACTCCACGTGATTTTGACCTTGCATATTAATCTGACCTCCTTTCATCTTCTGTCACTGCCTGTCTTATATTCTAAGCTTCAACCATACCGAAGTTCATTCAGTTTCCTAAATTTCTCTCCCCTTCCAGAATTTTGCAACTGTTATGTCTTCTGTGGAGATATTTTTTCTCCACTCTGCCATTTGACTCTCATCTACAAGTTATTTTCTCTGGGAAGCTTTCCTGGACTTTTCCCCTCATTCCACCCTAAGTTTCGATTGGATGATAATTCTCCTTTCATTATGTACATATAGTACCCCTTTACTTTTTTTTTCCCCAAGACAGGGTCTTGCTCTGTTGCCCAGGCTGTACTGTGGTGAGATCACAGCTCACTGTAGTCTTGAACTCCTGGGCTCAAGCAGTCCTTCTACCTCAGCCTCCCGAGTAGCTGGGACAACAAGCACACACCACGATACCCAGCTAATAGTTTAAATTTTTTGTAGAAATGGGGTCTCACGGCTGGGCATGGTGGCTCATGCCTGTAATCCCAGCACTTTGGGAGGCCAAGGCGGGTGGATCACCTGAGGTCAGGAGTTCAAGACCAGCCTGGCCAACATGGTAAGACCCTGTCTCTACTAAAAATACAAAATTAGCTGGGTGTGGTGGCGCATGCCTGTAATCCCAGCTACTTGGGAGGCTGAGGCAGGAGAATCACCTGAACCTGGGAAGTGGAGGTTGCAGGGAGCCGAGACCGTGCCATTGTACTCCAGCCTGGACTAAAAGAACGAATCTCCGTCTCAAAAAAAAAAAAAAGAAAGAAAGAAATGGGGTCTTACTGTGTTGCCCAGGCTGATCTTGAACTCCTGGGCTCAAACAATTATCCTGCCTTGGTCTTCTAAACTGTTGGGATTATAGGCATGAACCACTGTGCCTGGCCTCCTTTACTTTCTTACCATGGTACTGATCATAATATTACTGAACTTGGTTGGCTGTTTTTCCCTCACTGACGAGGTTCATGAAAAAGTAGCATGGAGTAGTGTGTAGTTGGTATTCAATAAATATTCGTTAAATGAATTAAGTGATTATAAAATGAAGCAGAAAATGAGACCACAGAGAGTGAGTAAAGAATCGTTGTACTATTTTGAGGTTGGAATGAAAAATGAGTGGATATCTAAGAATTTCAGAAATTAAGAATTCTATTGAGGCCAGGTGCAGTGGCTCAGGCCTGTAATCCTAGCACCTTGGGAGGCCAAGGTGGGAGGATTGCTTGAGGCCAAGGGTTCAAGACTAACCTGGCCAACATAGTGAGACCCTATCTCTAAAAAAGAAAAATAATTTTTTTTTAATTAAAAAGAAAAAAAGAATTCTGTTGAATGGCTTTTAATATTGTATCTTAGAGAATTGGCCATTTTCTTGCTAATCATATATACTCTTTTTTTTTTTTGAGACAGAGTCTCACTCTGTCGCCCAGGCTGGAGTGCATTGGTGCAGTCTCTGCTCACTGCAACCTCTGCCTGCTGGGTTCAATCTATTCTCGTGTCTCAGCCTTCTGAGTAGCTGGGACAATAGGTGTGTGCCACCACATCTGGCTAATTTTTGTATTTTTAGTAGAGATGGGATTTCACCATGTTGGCCAGGCTGGTCTTGAACTCCTGGCCTCAAGAGATCTGCCCTCCTCGGCCTCCCAGAGTGTTGGGATTACAGGTGTGAGCCCCCACACCTGGCCTTATGTGTACTCCTGACTGGTCTGTGTGGGCAGGCACATTCACCCCTTGGCTTAGTTCTTTAAGAATTTTGCAGGGGTTGGTAAACACTATTCAGGGTCCCAGGAGAGGACAGACCTTTTTGACCAAACCAGTGGCAGAAATAGAATGGACTTTGGTTTAGTGTCACTGGAATAGGGGGCCAGTGCTTTGAATGCAAGCACATCAACTATTTCGAGAAAATAGGTTTCATTCTAAAACAGCTATTTGAGCAGTTGGACAATCAAATGTAGTCATTAGTCTAATTTTGAGCATCATGAGGATGAGGGAAACACTGTCTTTAAGAATACTTATTGAAGCCCAAGGGATAAGGGGCTGAAGGGATACCACTGTTCTTTATTTTTCTCCTTATCCTGGCTGAGCTCTTGACCTCTATTTAATATCATGTTGTAAGTATTGTACCATAGGATAGAAGAGAACTGAGTACTAGGTAGCTATATTTAACTGTTGATTTTTGTGGACAGTTAAGAAAGCACGAACCCACAAAAATTAAACATTAGAAAAAAAAGAACATGAAATAGTTTGTAATTATTCTACTCTTGTGGATATTAGCTAGACATAGAACAAATGTTTCCCACTGCCCTGAGAATCTTCTTCTTTATCTCAGGTTCGCACTGCTCCTTGGAACACCACAAGGGCCTTCATTGCTGCCATGAAGGGCAAGTGTCTCCTAGAGGTGACTGGGGTGGCAGATCCCACAGGGTGTGGTGAAGGATTCTCCTATGTGAAGATTCCAAACAAACCAACACAGCAGAAGGTGGGATTGTGTTTATTTCTAGAATGAGAAAGTCAGGGGAGAAAGAAATGGGTGAGTGGAGGACTTGGAATGTAGTTAAGTTAGCAGAATGACTTAGATTCCTACTTACAAGGAGTTCAGGTTTTTAGGATTCTCACTTTTTTTGGTTTGAGGTAGGATGATAAAGAACCGCAGCCAGTGAAGAAGACAGTGACAGGAACAGATGCAGACCTTCGTCGCCTTTCCCTGAAAAATGCCAAGCAACTTCTACGTAAATTTGGTGTGCCTGAGGAAGAGGTGAGTGTGGAAGTGGAAAACTTAGAGGATACTAGGGGCTTTGTATAGAGAGGGAATTGCTAGGAAGCAGATGTATAGAACTGTCTGGGGAACTTTGTATTGTAGGGTATAGTAGGATATAGTAAGCTAGGTCTTAGATATTGTTTCAGGAGTTATCTGTCTTTGTAATCTGCTTTGGGATGATTTTTCTTTTTTGATCTAACTAATTGTGTACATTGGCTTGTCCTTTGAAATCCCTGAATGATTTTTGTGTGTATATATGTGTATATGTGTATGTGTGTGTGTGTGTGTGTATGTATATGTATGTGGCTATTTGTCTTGCAGATTAAAAAGTTGTCCCGCTGGGAAGTGATTGATGTGGTGCGCACAATGTCAACAGAACAGGCTCGTTCTGGAGAGGGGCCCATGAGTAAATTTGCCCGCGGATCAAGGTTTTCTGTGGCTGAGCATCAAGAGCGTTACAAAGAGGAATGTCAGCGCATCTTTGACCTACAGAACAAGTGGGTTGTTTTAGTGCTGCAGAAAATCCAAGCTGGAAAGGGGAGGAGTTCCAGGCACTATTTCATAATAAAGAGGAGGTCACCTAAAAGTTTGACTACCTAGGTAGTCAGATATCCGACGTGTCAGGGTAGTATCTGTTTGTAACACCACCACCAGAGTACCTATTTCCTTCAACCCAACTTGGCAAAATTTTTGAATGGAAAGAGATGCTAGTCTTGTGTTCTAGGTTCCATGACAACTCTTATGGCCTACTTGGGCCTAACAAACAGCACAATGGTAGCAGGTGACAGGTGGGGCTTTTTTCTAAAGGTTTAGTTGTGAGAGGACGTTAATACACTGTTAAAAAATGACCAGTGTGCTGATTTATTTATCAAATTGTCTCCAGGAATTCTGAAAGAGTTACTACAGTTTTTCAAACTTGTCTTGTTGACCAAATGTGTCGGAAAACTTTGTAAAGCTTTTCTGTTAGGGGCCCCATGTCTTAGTGGATTTTGAGTATGCCTTTTTAAGGTTGATTTCCCAATTTTTTACTTTTGCCTGCAACCATATTTCTTTAGCTCTTTCTGCACATTGCTTTTTCTCTTTTTAGGGTTCTGTCATCAACTGAAGTTTTATCAACTGACACAGACAGCAGCTCAGCTGAAGATAGTGACTTCGAAGAAATGGGAAAGAACATTGAGAACATGTTGCAGAACAAGAAAACCAGCTCTCAGCTGTCACGTGAACGGGAGGAGCAGGAGCGGAAGGAACTACAGCGAATGCTACTGGGTGAGGATAGTGGCTTCACAGACAGATAAAAAAGAGAAGGATTTAAAAAGGAGCCTAAATAACCACAGACTATGATTGAGGGAGATCTGGAGGCAGAAGATGTAGAGGATGCATGTAGAAAAGTCTGTGAATGAAGTAGAAAGCTTTTCACAATCTGGACTCTAGGATTGTCTGTGGAGGACAAATTTCAGAGATGATGCCACTCCACTACTGCCTCTGTCTGTATCAGGTGCCTGGCCAAGCCTGGGCTATCAGTGCTGTACTTCAAATGAGCTTTTTGTGCATTTATCCTAGAGGGTAAGAGTTTTTAATACAGAATTTGTAAATGAATTTAGGCAGTTATCTTTGAAACTTCTGAAATTACGTGTAAAATATGCATATGTGCATTTTATTATTTTTTTGTTTTGGAGACAGGGTTTCATTCTGCCACCCAGGCTGGAGTGCACTGGTACAATCTTAGCTTACTACAGCCCCCGCCTCCCAGGCTCAAACGATCCTCCTGCCTCAGCCTCCTGAGTAGCTGGGACTATAGGTGCATACCACCATGCCTGGCTAATTTTTGTATTTTTTGTAGAAACGGGATTTCACCATGTTGCCCAGGATGGTCTCAAACTCTTGAGCTCAAAGTGATCCACCTGCCTCAGCCTCCCAAAGTGTTGGCATTAAAGGCATGAGCCACCGCGCCTGGCCTTAAATGTGCATTTTCTGAGAACATCCATGGCTTTCAGAAGACCCTCAGAAGGAGTCTTAGACCCTGAAAAGAGTTTTAAAATTGTAGAAATTGAGGGTAGGAATAATAAAGACCTGAATTGAGTTGGGATATGGAGGGCATTAAGGATGAAAATCAAGACAACCTTAAGATTTCACTCTGAGATTACTAGAAAGATGTTGGTACCATTGATTAGAGTAGTGAATTTCAAGGTCTGACGTGGTGGCTCATGCCTGTAATCCCAGCACTTCGGGAGGTCGAAGTGAGAGGATCACATGAGCCCAGGAGTTTGAGACCAGCCTGGGCAACATGGTGAAACCCTGTTTCTATAGAAAATACAAAAATTAGATGTGGTGGCAGGCACCTATAATTCCAGCTACTCGGGAGGCTGAGGTGGGAGGATCACTTGAGCCTGGGAGGTAGAGGTTGCATTGAGTTGAGATTGTGCCACTGCACTCCAGCCTGGGTGACAGGGTGAGACCCTGTCTCAAAAGAAGTTAGGAAGGGAATGTGTAGTATGTGGAGTTTGAGGTCCCTTTGACACCCTTGAAGTATACGTGTCAAAGAGGCAGTTGAAAACTTGATGTAAACTAGCCGGGCGAGGTGGCGGGCGCCTGTAGTCCCAGCTACTCGGGAGGCTGAGGCAGGAGAATGGCGTGAACCCGGGAGGCGGAGTTTGCAGTGAGCTGAGATCCGGCCACTGCACTCCAGCCTGGGTGACAGAGTGAGACTCCGCCTCAAAAAAAAAATAAAAAAATAAAATGAAAACTTGATGTAGATATTGCAAGAGAGGATAAAGGCTGATGATGAAGATTTATATGACTTCTCAGTCACAGTAGTCTTCCCTTTGTTTCCTCTTTTCTGTGTAAGTTTTGTGTAATTTCATTGTTTTGGGTGCTTTGTAAAAATGTGATATAGCCCTTCCACCAATGTGGTCTTCTATGTTTTCTAGCGTAGTCCTGAAACACAGTATCTATATCATTTGGGAATTAGAAATGTGGAATCTCAGGCCTCACTCCACATCTACTAAATTAGAACCTACATTTGTGGCTGGGTGTGGTGGCTCACGCCTGTAATCCCAGCACTTTGGGAGGCCAAGGCGGGCGGGTCACCTGAGGTCAGGAGTTTAAGACCAGCCTGGCCAACATGGTAAAACCCCATCTCTACAAAAATTAGCCAGGCATGATGGTGGGTGCCTGTAATCCCAGCTACTTGGGAGACTGAGGCAGGAGAATCGCTCGAACCTGGGAGGCAGAGGTTGCAGTGAGCTGAGAGTGCGCCATTGAACTCTACCCTGGGCGACAGAGTAAAACTCTGTCTCAAAAAAAAAACCAAAAAAATCCTACATTTGAACAGGATCCCCAAATGATTCCTATTCATACTAATGTTTGAGAAGCATATGTTAGGCTTTAAGACTCGGAACTTGTTTTTGTAGTGCCATTTTTCCCCCTGAGTTGCGTGCCTGGGTACTTTTTTTTTTGGAAACAGGGTCTCGTTCTGTTGTCCAGGCTGGAGGGCAGTGGTGCAACCATGGCTTGTTTACTGCAGCCTCAACCTCCTGGGCTCAAGAACCTCAGCCTCCTGAGTAGCTGGGACCACAGGTGTGTACCACCATACCTGGCTAGTTAAAGGCATTTGTAGAGACAGTGTCTTCCTTTGTTGACCAGGCTGGTCTCAAACTCCTGGGCTCAAGCGATCCTCCCACCTTAGCCTCCCCAAATGCTGGGATTATAGGCATGAGCCACTGTACTCGGCCTTGCGTGCTTTTATTTGTAATGTGATCATCACCCACTGCCTACCTGGCCTTTTCTCTTGCACTGTTGTTCAGAGGAATCTGCTTCTCTATCTCCTGTAGCAAACATGTAGTTCTTTGAGGTTCTTTCAGAACTTTTTGTATTTATAAAAGTTGGGAAATTGGCCGGGCGTGTGGCTTAGGCCTGTAATCCCAGCACGTTGGGAGGCCAAGGCTGGCCTATCTCTTGAGCCCAGGAGTTAGAGGCCAGCCTGGGCAACATGACAAGACCCCGTCTCTACAAAAATTTAGCTGGGTGTGGTGGTACACACCTGTAGTCCCAGCTATTCAGGAGGCTGAGCTGGAAGGATAGATTGAGCCTGGGAGGTGGAGGTTGCAGTGAGCCGAGATTGCACCACTACTCCAGGCTGGGCAACAGAGCGAGAGAGATCCTGTCTCAAAAAAAAAAAAAAAGTGAGGAAATTGGCAGTGCCTAAAATGAAGTCAGGAAAGGACAAATCAGCATATTCTTGGGGATAATGATGACTTTGATGCTTTTTGTAGAACCATAGTTTTTTTGTGGCATGTTGAGTTTTGGTGTATCCACTCAACCCCAAGAAAATGATCATTTGGGAGATAAGGGGAACATTTGGAAATCTTTTCTACTTACCTTGCAGCAGCAGGCTCAGCAGCATCAGGAAACAATCACAGAGATGATGACACAGCTTCCGTGACTAGCCTTAACTCTTCTGCCACTGGGCGCTGTCTCAAGATTTATCGCACGTTTCGAGATGAAGAAGGGAAAGAGTATGTTCGCTGTGAGACAGTCCGAAAACCAGCTGTCATTGATGCCTATGTGCGCATACGGACTACAAAAGATGAGGAATTCATGTGAGTTTGATTTACCACTTCCTTTTTTTCTTTGAGGACAGAGTCTTGCTCTGTGGCCCAGGCTGGAGTGCAGCGGCGTGATCTCGGCTCATTGCAACTTCCATCTTTCGGGTTCAAGTGATTCTCGTGCCTCAACTTCCAGAGTAGCTGGGATTGCAGACGTGCACCACCATGCCCAGCTAATTTTTGTATTTTTAGTAGAGATGGGGTTTTGCCGTGTTGGCCAGGCTGGTGTTGAACTCCTGGGCTCTAGCAATTTGCCTGCCTCAGCCTCCTAAAGTGCTGGGATTACAGGCATGAGCCACGGCGCCTGGCCTAATTCACCACTTTTGAGTGTGATAGGGAGAATAATAATGGTGCGGAATGGTGATTGGGGTGGGTGCTTTGAGTTTTAGTGACAGGGTTCTTCACAGTTATTTCTAGAACTCTGCTGTAATTGAGAACTATATTGCCTTTAGATTGGGTTTGAATAGAGCCAAATTACAGGGAAAATTCTATTCAGTATTTGCCACAAGATGAAGGCATGTCTTGTTCCATTTCAATCCTTTGCATTTTGATTGGTTGGTTTGCAAAAATCTTAGAGATTACCGGCCGGGCGCTCATGCCTGTAATCCCAGCACTTGGGGAGGCCAAGGTGGGCGGATCACGAGGTCAGGAGTTCAAGACCAGCCTGACCAACATGGTGAAACCCCGTCTCTACTAAAAGTACAAAAATTAGCTGAATGTGGTGGCACGCACCTGTAATCCCAGCTACTCGGGAGGCTGAGGCAGGAGAATCACTTGAACCCGGGAGGCAGAGGTTGCAGTGAGCCAAGATCTTGCCACTGCACTCCAGCCTGGGCGACAGAGGGAGACTCCGTCCCAAAAAAAAAAAAACTTAGAGATTACTCAGGACTTATTCTAAGAGAGTTACCTCTGCAAATGGAGGGCCGACTAGGGAGGGAGATGGGAATGGCATGTAGCCCCTTTTATATTAACCTGAATGGATTACTGTAGTCCTGAGATGTTAGCTATTACGATAGCCTTTTTGGTTAAGGTTTGCTTATGGTCCTTCCTCTGCTGCCCACATTGTTCAGTCGAAAATTTGCCCTTTTTGATGAACAACATCGGGAAGAGATGCGAAAAGAACGGCGGAGGATTCAAGAGCAACTGAGGCGGCTTAAGCGGAACCAGGAAAAGGAGAAGCTTAAGGGTCCTCCTGAGAAGAAGCCCAAGAAAATGAAGGAGCGTCCTGACCTAAAAGTAAGTATAATGTGGTATAATTACAGCTAATGGAGCAAAGGAAGAAAGTATACCTTTTCCTTTAGCTTTTGACATCCTCTTTTGTATCCTCCTTTACTGGGAATGAGGGAAGTATATTGTGGAAAGCTGGTTTGAATTGATGTGACTACTTGGGGGTGTTCTCAGTACTAATGTGGGTGATATTGACAATTCCACACCAAATCTGGTGCTGTTGTTCTCTCTCTCTTTTTTTTTTTAGACAGGGTCTGGCTCTGTTGCCCAGGCTGGAGCACTCTGGCACGATCTTGGCTCACTGCAGGCTCTGCCTCCTGGGCTCAAGCCATCCTCCTACCTCTGCCTCCCAAGTAGCTGGGACTACAGGCACATGTCACCACACCTGGATACTTTTTGTATATTTTGTAGAGATGGGGTTTTGCCATGTTGCCCAGGCTAGTCTCAAACTCCTGAGCTCAAGTGATCCTCCTACCTTGGCTTCCCAAAGTGCTGGGATTGCAGGCGTGAGCCACCATGCCTGGCTTGTCATTTATTCTTTTTTTTTTTTTTTTTTGAGACAGAGTCTCACTCTGTTGCCCAGGCTGGAGTTGCAATGGCGCAATCTCAGCTCATTGCAACCTCTGCCTCCCGGGTTCAAGCGATTTTCCTGCCAGAACCTCTCGAATAGCTGGGATTACAGGTGTCTGCCACCATGCCTGGCTAATTTTTTGTATTTTTAGTAGAGACAATATTTCACCATGTTGGCCAGGCTGGTCTCGAACTCCTGACTTGGTGATCTACCTGCTTCCACCTCCCAAAGTGCTGGGATTACAGGTGTAAGCCACCACGCCAGGCTTGTTATTTATTCTTTTGTTTTTTTTTGAGACAGAGTGTCACTCTGTTTCCCAGGCTGGAGTGCAATGGCGCAATCTCAGCTCATTGCAACTTCTGCCTCCTGGTAAGCAATTCTTGTGCCTCAGCCTCCCAAGTAGCTGTGCTACCAGGCATGTGCTACCATGCCTGGCTAATATTTGTTTTTTGAGACGGAGTTTTGCTCTGCCCAGACTGGAGTGCAGTGGTGCCATCTCGGCTCACTGCAACCTCTGCCTTCCCATTAAGCAACTCTCCTGCCTCAGCCTCCCAAGTAGCTGGGATTACAGGCGCTCGCCACCATGCTCAGCTAATTTTTGTATTTTTAGTAGAGGCGGGGTTTCACCATGTTGGCCAGGCTGGACTTGAACTCCTGACCTCAGATGATCTGCCTACCTTGGCCTCCCAAAGTGCTGGGATTACAGGCATGAGCCACTGAGCCTGGCCTTATTCTTTATCTGAAATATTTTCTAGGAGTTGAGATAGGTTTGGTAGGGTTTTTTGTTTGTTTGTTTGTTTGTTTGTTTTAGAGACAGAGTCTCTGTTTATCGCTCAGGCTGGAGTGCAATGGTGTGATCTCCACTTAATGCAGCCTCCGCCTTCCGGGTTCAAGGGATTCTTGTGCCTCAGCCTCCCGAGTAGCTGGGATTGCAGGCGTGCACCACCATGCCCGGCTAATTTTTTTGTATTTTTAGTAAAGACAGGGTTTTAATATGTTGGCCAGGCTGGTCTCGAACTCCTGGCTTCAAGTGATCCTCCCACCTTGGCCTCCCAAAGTTGTGGGATTACATGCATGAGCCACTGCTCTTGGCCCAAGTTTGGTAGGTTTTTTAACATGTACTTTCATGTCTCTTATCTGTGTGTATACATTGTGTATATATATTTTTAAATATGTACCTTTAAAATATTGTACATATTAAAAGAAGCAACAAAAGTAAAACATACAAGTTGTTTTCCATAACTTAGGATCACAGATACTACTGTGATTGTAATAAGCATCCTAAGATGAGGCAGTTGTCATACAGTGGAAAGAGCCATGAGCTTGGAAACGGAAGATCTGAATTCAGGTTCTGTTTCTGCCATTTAATAGGTCTGTGACCTTAACCTCTCCAGACTTGTTTTCTCTAATATAAAATGATATGTCCACAGTGTTGTTGTTTTAAATGATACAATTCGGGGGAAGCACTTTATAAAATATTCAACAGATGTAAAGAGCTGTTCTTAACGCATACTGAAGTCATTAAGTGTTTTAATGTTCCTTTTTGTATGTAGCGTTAGATAAGTGTGATACAGTATTGGCCCCATTTTACAGATGAAACCGAGGTCTAGGATACCAGAGCTACTCATCTGCAAAACTGAGATGGAGACTCGGTGTTATCGAACGTTTTTCTTGTTTTGACTAGAGAATGGGAATACACCCAGCAGGCTGATTATGCTGCTGAATGTAGATGGGCTTCCAACAGCTTGTCTCCTGCATATTTAATATTTTCATAGTTTACAACTTAAATTGGGAGTGAAAATCTTCTCTTTTTTCTTCTTACCTGAGTTTTAAAGCAATGTTTAGTCTCTGGATTTCATTTTTTTTCCATGTGTCATTTCCATACATGCAGTTTTGTCTAGTGGCTTCTGATTGATCAGTGCATAACAATTCTATTAGAGCAAAAGTTTTTTTTTTTTTTTTTTTTTTTTTTGGGGGGGGGGTGTTTTTTTTCCCGCGGGGGGGGGGTGGGGGGGGTTCTCATCCCTCGCAAACCCCCCCCCCCCCTGTGGTTTACCGTTCTCCTGCGGAGAGACGGAGTCTCAACACATGTCGCCCAGGCTGGAGTGCAGTGGCCGGATCTCAGCTCACTGCAAGCTCCGCCTCCCGGGTTGCCGCCATTCTCCTGCCTCAGCCTCCTGAGTAGCTGGGACTATAGGCGCCCGCCACCTTGCCCGGCTAGTTTTTTGTATTTTTTTAGTAGAGACGGAGTTTCACCGTGTTAGCCAGGATGGTCTAGATCTCCTGACCTCGTGATCCGCCTGAAAAAGTGCTGAGATTACAGGCTTGAGCCACTGTGCCCGGCCAGAGCAAAAGTTTTTTTTTTTTTTTTTTTTTTTTGAGATGGAGTCTTGCTCTGCGTAGCCCGGGCTGGACTGCGTGGCCGGATCTCAACTCACTGCAAGCTCCGCCTCCCAGGTTTACGCCATTCTCCTGCCTCAGCCTCCCAAGTAGCTGGGACCACAGGCGCCCGCCACCTCGCCCGGCTAGTTTTTTTGTATTTTTTTTTTTTTTAGTATTTTTAGTAGAGACGGGGTTTCACCGTGTTCGCCAGGATGGTCTCGATCTCCTGACCTCGTGATCCGCCCGTCTCGGCCTCCCAAAGTGCTGGGATTACAGGCTTGAGCCACCGCGCCCGGCCGAGAGCAAAAGTTTTTAAGCTGACTTTGTTTTTCCCATCTTGTATGTACAGTTGAGCTTTGAACAACATGGGTTTGAACTGCACGGGTCCACTTATGTGTGGATCGTGGTATGTGGAGCCTGTGTATATGGAGGGCTGGCTTTTTGTATATATGGGCTTCACTATGTGTGGATTTTGGTATACTCGGGGTCCTGGAACAAATCCCCTACGTATACTGAGGGACAACTTGCGTGCTTATCTCTGATATGTGTTTCAGCCTACTTACCTCTGACATGTTTGATACTTTTCCTTTTGCAGCTGAAATGTGGAGCATGTGGTGCCATTGGACACATGAGAACTAACAAATTCTGCCCCCTCTATTATCAAACAAATGCGCCACCTTCCAACCCTGTTGCCATGACAGAAGAGCAGGAGGAGGAGTTGGAAAAGACAGTCATTCATAATGATAATGAAGAACTTATCAAGGTCGAAGGGACCAAAATTGTCTTGGGGAAACAGCTAATTGAGAGGTAAGAGATACCAGGCAGGAAGTGCCATGGGACGGATTCATTTGAGTTTGGTTTTATTGGTGGCTGGTGGGGGTAGATGTGATGTGTTCTCTGAAATGGAACTGAAGGAACGGGAATTTTGATGGCTTTTCCTCAGTTATTGTTGCCAGTACTGAAAATTATAGCACTCATTAGGTTGTACCACTTGTTTCGGAGCATGCTGCCTAACTTCTGAGTCTATTTCCTTAGTTACAAAATAAAACCACCCTTACTAGGATAGTTAAGAAGATAAAATGAGACAGATTACAAAGCATACAGTATAGTGCCTGGCATATAGTAGATGCTCAGTAGATGTTAGTTATCTCTTCTTGTTCTACTTCTAGATACTTAATAATATTTGCAAGGTCCCTAATATTGTTGTGTTTTTTTTTTTTTTTTTTGAGACAAAGTCTTGCTCTGTTGCCCAGGCTAGAGTGCAGTGGCTCATTGCCACCTCTGCCTCCTGGGTTCAAGCGATTCTCATGCCTCAGCCTCCCGAGTAGCTGGGATTACAGGCGCACACCACCAGGCCTGGCTAATTTTTGTATTTTTGTAGAGATGGGGTTTCATTATGTTGGCCAGGCTCGACTTGAACTCCTGACCTCAAGTGATCTGCCTGCCTTGGCCTCCCAGAGTGCTGGGATTACAGACGTGCTGGGATTACCATGCCCAGCCTAATTTTTGTATTTTTGGTAGAGACAGGGTTTTGCCATGTTGGCCGTGCTGGTCTCGAACTCTTGTCCTCAAGTGATTCTCTAGCCTCGGCCTCCCCAGGCGTTGGGATTACAGGCGTAAGCCACCATGCCCGGCCTTGTAGTGTTCTAATAAAGGATGGAAGAGACATAGAAACTGTGCTTATACTTGTGTCTTGCCCTCAGAGACTTTAATAGATAATAAAATGAAGAAGTTGTAAAGTTCTTTCTCCTTTTTAGTTTGAAAATGGCAGACCTACAGAAAAGTTGAAAGAATGTAGTATATGATTCCTTTAAATTCACTAATTGTTAACATTTTGTCACATTTGCTTCATCTTTATATACCTAAAACTTTTTTTTTTCCTGAATCATTTGGAACTAAGTTGCAGGCATCATATTTCACTCCTAAGAAAGTTAACATTAATGTAATAATATATAATATTCAGATCTCATTCAGTCTTCCCCAGTTGTCTCAGTGTCCTTTATTTCCTCTGTCCCCAATTCTGGATTCATTCCCAGTTCAAACATTAAATATATTTTGAATCTCTCTTAATCTAGAATGGTTTTCCCTACCTTTTATATTTTTCTTTTTTTTTTTTTTTTTGAGATAGGGTCTGGTTCTGTTACCCAGGCTGGAGTGCAGGGGCAGGGGCATGATCTCAGCTCACTGCAACCTCTGCCTCCCAGGTTTAAGTCATCCTCTCACCTCAGCATCCACAGTTGTTGGGACTACAGGCGTGCAGTACCACACCTGGCTAATTTTTGTATTTTTTGTAGAGAGAGGATTTTGCCGTGTTGCCCAGGCTGGTCTCAAACTCCTGGGCTCAAGCAGTCCTCCTGCCTCAGCTTCCCAAAGTGCTGGGACTATAGGCATCAGGCACTGCACCCAGCCCCATTTATGTTTTTCATGACATGCATTTTTTGAAAATTCCAGGCCAGTTGTCTCAAAATATTCCACATTCTGAAATTGTCTGTTCTCTCATTGATCAGATTCCAATTAAATGTTGTTGGCAAGACATTTAATGTCATATTTGGGTGATATACTTACTATACCATATCAGCAAGCATGTAATGTCAGATTTTCCCACTGTTTTGATCATCTTGCTAAAGTGGTGATCCTCAGATCCTTTAATAAAGTATGTTTTTTCTTTGTAATTAACATGTTGGTGAATATCCTGTTCCCTGACAATCTTTTAATAGTTTTAGCATCAGTTGATGACCATTGCTTTATTCAGTTATTTCAGTGGGGGTTCAAAAATGGTAATTTTTCTATTTCTAGCATTTCTTCAACATTAGCTAACATTTTTCTATAAAAAAGAGCTTTCTACTCTCCCTTTCCAACATAGTGTCCCAAATTTGACTCCCTCAAGCCAGATCCTGGTTTTTTTTTTCTTTTTTTTTTTTTTTAAACGACCCTATAAATACTTGAGAACTTCCTTGCTTTTTGGCACAAGATGTTTTTGTTTCCGTCTCAACGAAGTCTTGCTCCATTGCCCAGACTAGAGTGTGGTGGCGTAATCTCGGCTCACTGAAACCTCTGCCTCCCAGATTCAAGGGATTCTCCTGTCTCAGCCTCCCAAGTAGCTGGGATTACAGACTTGTGCCACCACATCTGGCTAATTTTTGTGTTTTTAGTAGAGATGGGTTTGCACCTTGTTGGCCAGGCTGTTCTCAAACTTCTGAACTCGTGATCCGCCCGCCTGGGCCTCCCAAAGTGCTGGGATTACCGGCATGAGCCACCAATCCCAGCCTTCTGGCACAAGATGTTAAAAGCTCTCTTTCAAATTTTCCTATCCTATACTTGGAGTCAGCCATTTCTCCAAGAGCCCAGGTTCCTTTTTCTTTTTTTTTTTTTTTTGAGACGGAGTCTTGGTCTGTCGCCCGCGCTGGAGTGCAGTGGCCGGATCTCAGCTCACTGCAAACTCCGCCTCCCGGGTTTACGCCATTCTCCTGCCTCAGCCTCCCGAGTAGCTGGGACTACAGGCGCCCGCCACCTCGCCCGGCTAGTTTTTTGTATTTTTTAGTAGAGACGGGGTTTCACTGTGTTAGCCAGGATGGTCTCGATCTCCTGACCTCGTGATCCGCCCGTCTCGGCCTCCCAAAGTGCTGGGATTACAGGCTTGAGCCACCACGCCCGGCCGGGGTTCCTTTTTCTTCTTGAGACGGAGTCTTGCTCTGTCTCCCAGGCTGCAGTGTGGCACCATCTTGGGTCACTGTAACCTCCGCCTCCCCAGTTCAAACAGTTCTCCTGCCTCAGCCTCCTGAGTAACGGACTACAGGCACATGCCACCTTGCCCTGCTAATTTTGTATTTTTAGTAGAGACGGGGTTTCTCCCTGTTGGTCAGGCTGCTCTTGAACTCCCGACCTGAGGTGATCTGCCTGCCTCCACCTCCCAAAGTGCTGAGATTATAGACATGAGCTACTATGCCCAGCTGATATACATGTATTTTAAATTACAACTTTATACTGATACCTCCAATTTAGTTTATAGATCTTTTTTTCCTCATCTTCCCTCATTTCATATGTCTCCATTCTCAAGAAATAACTTAATTTCTCTATATATTTACTTAGAAATCAATATATTGAGAAATTTGCTCTGTCCTATGATAGGTACAAAATAGTTTCAGAATTACTATAATAATACCACTACCACCAACAAACCCATAAAGTAGATTCAAGATGTTTTTCATAGTTTATTTTTCTTGGACTACATGCCGCTGAGGTATAGTTAGGCTATTCCAAACATATTTGAATCACTTCTTTTTTTGTGTGTAATTTAAGAAATCAATTTGATACAGTTAGAGTCATTTATTTCTGTTTGTGTTTAATTTGGGGTTCCTTTTCCCATCCTTGTTGATTTATTTTATTTTTTGAGATGGAATCTCGCTCTGTTGCCGAGGCTGGAGTGAAGTGGTGCGATCTCAGTTGACTGCAACCTCTGCCTCCTGGGTTTAAGTGATTCTCCTGCCTTAGCCTCCCAAGTAGCTGGGACTACAGATGCATTCTATCACACCTGGCTAATTTTTGTATTTTTAGTAGAGATGGGGTTTCGCCATGTTGGTCACGCTGGTCTTGAACTCCGGAGCTCAGGCAATCTGCCTGCCTTGGCCTTCCAAAGTGCTGAAATTACAGACGTGAGCCACCACACCCAGCCTCCATCCTTGTTGATTTAATTATTAATATTTGTAATAGTCATTGTTTTTTGAAGCACATTAGAAGAGGAAGATGGGCCAGACGTGGTGGCTCATGCCTATGATCCCAGCGTTTTGGGAGGCTGAGGTGGGAGGATCACTTGAGCTCAGGAGTTCGAGACCAGCCTAGGCAATATAGTGAGATCCTGTCTCTATTACTGAACAAGCAGTTTTTAAATTTAAAAAATGAAGAAGAAGAAAATGTGATACCATGGTCCCTTAAAGTGGAAGAGAAGAAGGTGAATGAGCTTTAATGATTGAGGGAAGCCCAAACTAGTTTGTTTTCTTTTTTCAAATCAGTTTTAAATTTCTTATTTCCATTCTGAATGAGTTAGGTTTCCTAGCCTTTTAAGATAGAATGCTGGGGCTAGGCACGATGGCTCACACCTGTAATCCCAGCACTTTGGTTTGCCAAGGCGGGTGGATCACCTGAGGTCAGGAGTTCGAGACTTGCCTGACCAACATGGCGAAAACCTGCCTCTACTAAAAATACAAAAATTAGCTGTGCATGGTGGTGGGCTCCTGTAATCCCAGCTACTTGGGAGGCTGAGACAGGAGAATCACTTGAGCCTGGGAGGTGGAGGTTGCAGTGAGCTGACATTGCGCTATTGTACTCCAGCCTGGGAGACGAGCGAAACTACATCTCAAAAAAAAAGATAGAATGTTGGAACTGGAAGGATTTTTAAAATTCTTTAGCCTGGTTTCCTTATCTTCCCAATAGGAAACTGAGGTAAAGTTGTGACTTGCCTAGTTACTTATTAACTTGGAAAGCCTTTGAGGGCTTGCCTGATCTGAAGGTGGATGTCTGGCCTTTGGTTTGGCTTTTTCCTCCCTAAGCTCATGCTTAGGTACCTTGGATTTTTTTTTATTATAGTTGATTTTTTTTCCCTGGGAATTAGAAATAGGGGCTGTATCTTACTAAAGTGTTTTGATTACAGTGCGGATGAGGTTCGCAGAAAATCTCTGGTTCTCAAATTTCCTAAACAGCAACTTCCTCCAAAGAAGAAACGGAGAGTTGGAACCACTGTTCATTGTGACTATTTGAATGTGAGTATGTGCATTGCTTCCTTCTGATTAGGTGGGTTCTCATTGATTCCCCTAACCATATATGCCATGGCTCTGACAGCCTTAGATTCTCCATTTGCCTTGCCCTGAGAATTATGTGTACTGTTCATTATAAGATTTCTAAAATATGTTTGTCTAGTTAGAGAATGTGGATTTTTTTTTTTTGAGACGGAATCTCACTCTGTTGCCCAGGCTGGAGTGCAGTGGCACGATCTCGGCTCACTGGAACCTCCACCTCCCAGGTTCAAGCAATTCTCCTGCCTCAGCCTCCCAAGTAGTTGGGATTACAGGCACACACCACCTAATTTTCATACTTTTAGTAGAGATGGGGTTTTGCCATATTGATCAGGCTGATCTTGAACTCCTGACCTCAGGTAATCTGAGGTGATCTGCCCGCCTCCACCTCACAAAGTGCTGAGATTATAGGCATGAGCTACCATGCCCAGCTGATACACAATCTACTCGCCTTGGCCTCCCAAAGTGCTGGGATTACAGGTGTGAGCCACCGTGCTTGGTGGATTTTTTCTTTTTTTTTTTTTTTGAGATAGAGTCTCGCTCTGTTACCCAGGCTGGAGTGCAGTGGTGTGATATTGGCTCACTGCAACCTCCGCTTCCCAGGTTCAAGTGATCCTCCCACCTTAGCCTCCTGAGTAGTTTGGATTACAGGCATGTGCCACCACACCCAGCTAATTTTTGTATTTTTAGTAGAGATGGGGCTTCGCCATGTTATTCAGGCTGGTGTTGAACTCCTGGCCTCAAGTGGTCCGTCCACCTCGGCCTCCCAAAGTGCTGGGATTACAGGCATGAGCTACTGTGCCTGGACAGAATGTGGATTTTTTTTGGTCTGAAGCATTCTGATTTCATGTTTCTTCTTAGAGACCTCATAAGTCCATCCACCGGCGCCGCACAGATCCTATGGTGACGCTGTCATCCATCTTGGAGTCTATCATCAATGACATGAGAGATCTTCCGAATGTGAGTTCATTGTGTTGGATATCTATAGTAGGGGTGTCAAAGCCCTTTGTTCTGTCTGTGATTTCCAATAGAGGGCAGTAATCTATAGATTTAGGTAACTGGAATGCCTAATTTTTGGGGATTTAGTTTTTTTGTTTGTTTAAGCAGTTTAGTAGAGGAAACAGACCTGCTAGAAAGATTCCTTTCAGAGTTGATAGCCAGGTGGATAGGTAAGATGTGAGAATCTTCAGGAATTGGCTCTGGCAAGTGTTCTTTGCTGATGTATGGTTCCGGCCCTTGTTTGCAGACATACCCTTTCCACACTCCAGTCAATGCAAAGGTTGTAAAGGACTACTACAAAATCATCACTCGGCCAATGGACCTACAAACTCTCCGCGAAAATGTGCGTAAACGCCTCTACCCATCTCGGGAAGAGTTCAGAGAGCATCTGGAGCTAATTGTGAAAAATAGTGCAACCTACAATGGTAAGAATCAAATGTTCTATGATTGCAAAGGTCACTGTTCAGATCTTTATTTATTCCTTACTGGGCCTAAATTCAGACTAGATTGGACTGAGAGGACTACAGTGTATTTCTGCATTCATTTGTGGGTATGAAAATCAGGTAATGCACATTTTCAGTCATTTAATAAATATCACTTCTTTTTTTGCGGGTAGTGGGTGTTGGAGTCTCTCTCTGTTGCCCAGGCTGGAGTGCAGTGGCGTAATCTTGGCTCACTGCAACCTCCGCCTCTCGGTTCAAGCGATTCTCCTGCCTCAGCCTCCCAAGTAGCTGGGATTACAGGCACGCGCCACCATGCCTGGCTAATTTTTGTATTTTTAGTAGAGACAGGGTTTCACCATGTTGGTCAGGCTTGTCTCTAACTCCTGACTTCATGATCCACCCCCCTCAGCCTCCCAGGATTACAGGCATGAGCCACTGCACCCAGCCTAATGTCACTTCTTTTTATTCCCACTGTTTAATTCTTATATCCTCTGGAGAATTTGGAGTCTGTCCGTTGTAATGAAACAGTTCCATGGAAAGTAGTGGAAGAGGTGGTCCTAGGTTAGTAGAAAAGAGGGACATTCAGTGTGGATGGAACCTGTGTAGGGTATGCACTTGGGACCATGTTTGCTGTGTCTGAATCTTCTGTTTGGTCTACAAATTTGTTAGAGGCGCCGTTATATGTTCACTTTGCTCAAAAACTGAGAAGACAAAGGGGAAGAAATCTGTTTGTCTTTTTTTTTCCCCCTTATGAGACAGGGTTTCACTCCTGTTGCCCAGTAGCCTCCCAAGTAGCTGGGACTACAGGTGGTTGCCACCATGCCATGCTAATTTTTGTATTTTTTTGGTAGAGACGGGGTTTCGCCATGTTGCCCAGGTTGGTCTCAAACTCTTGAGCTCAACTGATCTGACCACCTCAGCCTCCCAAAGTGCTGGGTTTACAGGCATGAGCCACTGCACCTGGCCTGTTGCTATGTCTTAAAAAGAGGAAACAGTATAGCTTCTGCATGTAAAGGATAAGGTTTTCTGGTTTCTGTTTGCATCCTTGAGCACAGATTCACATATATAAATGTAGGGATTCAGAGTACAGATAGAGTATAAATCATGGCTCTGGCACTTACTAATTGAGTTACCATAGACAAGTTATTTAACTTCTCATACCCTCCTCAGTTTTCTCATCTGTAAACATGGGATAGTACTATGTGAATTTTAAAACCTTTCAGAAGCAGGCCCAACCCATTTATCTACTTTCTATCTCCAATGACTGGCTCCCATACCCATTATCAACCCTTGCCACACTCAGCATTATATTTCACAAAATATCCCCTATCATTTCTTCATGACTTTGCAGTCTTTGCTCTCTCTCTGGGATGCCTTTCTTTCCTATATTTCTGGGCCAACTTATATTACCTGTTTTTATTTTATTTCTTTTGAGATGGAGTCTTGCTCTGTCGCCCAGGTTGGAGTGCAGTGGCGCCATCTCGGCTCACTGCAACCTTCGCCTCCTGGGTTCCAGCGGTTCTCCTGCCTCAGCCTCCCGAGTGGCTGGGATCACAGGCGCCCACCACCACACGTGGCTAAGTTTTGTATTTTTAGTAGAGACGGGGTTTCTCCATGTTGGCCAGGCTGGTCTTGAACTCCTGACCCTGTGATCTGCCCTCAGCCTCCCAAAGTGCTAGGATTACAGGCATGAACCACCGCACCCAGCCCATGATTTTCTTTATTTCACCATAAGAAATCTTTAAAATGGGTACTGTTATAACCCTCGTTTTCCAGATGAACATACAGGCCTATAGTGTTTAAATAGCTTTAAAAAATGTTTTTTTAATGATGAGGTGATGGGTTGATGTGTGCAGCAAACCACCATGGCACACGTTTACCTATGTAACAAATCTGCACATCCTGCACATGTATTAAAAAAAAAAAAAGGAGGAAGATTACTTTACCTTTAGGGGCACTTCTAACCTACATTTGTGATTTTCTTTTTTTGGAGATGGAGTCTCGCTGTGTCGCCCAGGCTGGAGTGCAGTGATGCGACCTTGGTTCACTGCAGTCTCTGCCTCCTGTGTTCAAGTGATTCTCCTGCGTCAGCCTCCTGAGTAGCTGGGATTACAGGCATGCGCCACCATGCTGGGCTAATTTTTTTATTTTTAGTGGAGATGAGGTTTTGCCATGTTGGCCAAGCTGGTCTCGAACTCCTGACTTCAGGTGATCTGCCCTCCTCGGCCTCCCAAAGTACTGGGATTACAAGCGTGAGCCACCGTGTCCAGCTGATTTTCTCTTTTGATAGTCTCTGTCACCCAGGCTGGAGGAGTGTGGTGGTATGATCTTGGCTCACTGCAACTTCCTCCCCCTCTGGGGTTCAAGCAGTTCTCCTGCCTCAGCCTCCTGAGTAGCTGGAACTACAGCTGTGCCCCACCATGCCCGGCTAATTTTTCTATTTTTAGTAGAGACAGGGTTTCACCATGTTGACCAGGCTGGTCTTGAACTCCTGGCCTCAAGTGATTCACTGATCTTGGCCTTCCGAAGTGCTGGGATTACAGGCAAGAGCCACCACTAGACTTAGGCATGAGAATCACTTGAATCTGGGAGGTGGAGGTTGCAGTGAACCAAGATCGCACCACGGCACTCCAGCCTGTGTGAGAGAGTAAGACTGTCTCAAAAAAAAAAAAAAAATGACAGAGTAGAGATGTTAATCCAGTTATATCTAATGTCAGAGCCTGTACTCTTAACCACCATGCTCCATATACCCTTCTCCACTTTTTCACTTACTGTTTACGCCTCACAACCCTGCACTTGTCTTCTGCTGAAGTACCAGCTACATCCTAATTGCTGGATCCACTGGCCACATTTCAGAAATAACCTTTTATTTAAACACCTTTATTGAAATATAATTCACATACTATGCAATTTATCCATTTAAAGTGGTCAGTTTTTTTTGTTTGTTTGTTTGAGATGATGTTTTGCTTTTGTTGCCCAGGCTGGAGTGCAATAGCGCGATCTCGGCTCACTGCAACCTCTGCCTCCTGGATTCAAGCGATTCTCTTGCCTTAGCCTTGCGAGTACCTGGGATTATAGGCATGCGCCACCACTCCTGGCTAATTTTGTATTTTTAGTAGAGATGGGGTTTCTCCATGTTGGTCAGGCTGATCTTGAACTCCCAACCTCAAGGGATCTGCCTGCCTCGGCCTCCCAAAGTGCTGGGATTAAATCAGGCATGAGCCACCACGCCTGGTTGGCTAAAGTGGTCAGTTTTAACATGTCATCCATATTGTAACATGTATCAGTACTTCATTCCTGTTTTTTTTGAGACAGGGTCTCACTGTGTTGTCCAGGCTGGAGTGCAGTGGAGCAGTCACAGCTCACTGCAGCCTCACCCTCCCAGGCTCAAGGAATCCTCCCATCTTAGCATCTCAAGTAGCTGGAACCACATGTGCATGCCACCATGCTTAGCTAATTTTTATTTTGTAGAAACAGAGTCTCACTATGTTGCCCAGGCTGGCCTCAAACTCCTGGGCTCAAGCGATCTTCCTAACTTGGCCTCCCAAAGTGCTGGGATTACAAGCATGAGCCATTGTGCCCAACCTCATTTTTTTTTTTATCATGTAATACTCCATTGTATGGATGCCCCACATTTTGTTTGTCAATTGATGGACATTTAGATTGTAATTTTGGCTGATGCAAATAATGCATCTGTGAACATTTTGTGAACATTCTTGTACAAACTTTTGTGTGGACATTTGCTTTTTTTTTTTTTTTTTGGAGACAGAGTCTTCCTGTGTTGCCCAGGCTGGAGTGCAGTGGCACGATCTCTGCTCACTGCAACCTCCGCCTCCTGGGTTCAAGTGATTCTCCTGCCTCAGCCTGCCAAATAGCTAGGACTATAGGTGCGTGCCACTATGGCTGGCTGATTTTTTGTATTTTTAGTAGAGACAGGGTTTCACTGTTGGTCTTGATCTCCAGGCCTCGTGATCCACCCGCTTCGGCCTCCCAAAGTGCTGGGATTAAAGGTGTGAACCACCGCGCCCGGCGAACATTTGCTTTTTTCAATTTTAATTTTTTTTATTTCTCAGGCAAGTAAGAAAGGGACACTTGTTTTTATTTCTCTTGGGTATATAAAGATTGAGCATCCCAAATCCAAAAACTTGAAATTCTCCAAAATCTTAAACTTTTTGAATGCCTGCTTGATGCTCTAAGGAAATGCTCACTGGAACATTTGGATTTCTGATTTTCGGATTAGGGATGTTCACATATTTGCAGATATTCCAAAATATTTCAGATTCTTAAAAAACCTGAAATCTGAAACACCTGTGGTCCCAAGCATTTCAGATAAGGAATACTCAGTCTGTACTTAGGAGCCGAATTGCCGAGTCCACATGGTAACTCATATGTTTAACTAACTTTTTGTGGAACCTCCAAACTGTTTCCCAGAGCAACTGCACCATTTTGTAATCCCACCAGCGGGTTCCAGTTTCTTCACATCCTTGTCAACCCTTGTTATTGTCCATCTTTTTGCTTCTAACCATCCTAGTGGGTGTGAAGTGGTATTTCATTGTAATTTTGATTTGCATTTCCCTATTGACTAATGATGCCGAAAATTTTCGAATATGATTAGAAATATCATTCTTGAACTTTTGTGCATTTGCCACTATTGACCACTTTTTCCTCCTTGATACTCTCTTCTCCCTTTTCCAGAAACACTTTCTCAAATGATTTCCTTGCCTTTTCATTCTCATTACTTCAGCCATCATATGTCTGTTAACATCACTATCTCCATACCTCTCTTCAGGGCTCCATACCTGTGCTTCCAGTTGTCTGCCAGACATGTCCATTTTTCATTGTCCTACTGGCAACTTATTATCTGATTGCCCATCTAGTTGTACATCCTAGAAATCATAGTCATAATTTATTCCATCTTCTCTTCCCCACACTCATAGATAACCAAGTCCCATAAATTGGAAATTCTAAGTTGCCAACGGAAA